GGGTCTGGTTCAGGTGACCTGTGTGGGGTCTGGTTCAGGTGACCTGTGTGTGGTCTGGTTCAGGTGACCTGTGTGGGATCTGGTTCAGGTGACCTGTGTGTGGGGTCTGGTTCAGGTGACCTGTGTGTGGGGTCTGGTTCAGGTGACCTGTGTCTGGGTGTGTGTGGGTCTGGTTCAGGTGACCTGTGTGTGGGGTCTGGTTCAGGTGACCTGTGTGTGGTCTGGTTCAGGTGACCTGTGTGTGTGGGGTCTGGTTCAGGTGTGTGTGTGGGGGTCTGGTTCAGTGTGTGGGTTCAGGTCCTGTGTTCAGGTGACCTGTGTGTGGTTCAGGTCTGGTGTGGGGTCAGGTGTGTGGTGGGGTCTGGTTCAGGTGACCTGTGTGTGGGGTCTGGTTCAGGTGACCTGTGTGTGGTCTGGTTCAGGTGACCTGTGTGTGGTCTGGTTCAGGTGACCTGTGTGTGGGTCTGTGTGTGTCTGGGTGACCTGTGTGTCTGGTTCAGGTGACCTGTGTGTGGGGTCTGGTTCAGGTGACCTGTGTGGGGGGTTCTGGTTCTGGTTCAGGTGACCTGTGTGGGTCTGGGGTCTGGTTCAGGTTCAGACCTGTGTGTGGGTCTGTTCAGGTGACCTGTGTGTGGGGTCTGGTTCAGGTGACCTGTGTGTGGGAGTCTGGTTCAGGTGACCTGTGTGTGGGAGGAGTCTGGTTCCAGGTGACCTGTGTGTGGGGTCTGGTTCAGGTGACCTGTGTGTGGTCTGGTTCAGGGTGACCTGTGTGTGGGGTCTGGTTCAGGTGACCTGTGTGTGGGAGTCTGGTTCAGGTGACCTGTGTGTGGGGGTCTGGTTCAGGTGACCTGTGTGTGGGGTCTGGTTCAGGTGACCTGTGTGTGGGAATCTGGTTGATGGGTGACATTTGTTGAGGAGTGACCTGTGTGTGGGGTACTTTCGTAAGTGTTCAGGCTGGGAAGTACTCAGTGAAAAACATGGAGCCCCAGCGCTCTTGCTGCCACCCAGAAAACATTAAACGACGCCCACGCCCAAGACGCAAACGGCACCACAGTGCTCCAGCATATTGTGTTATTGCCCAGTGACACGCCCGCGGAAAACATTTAAACATGTTCTGCCGCCAGTGATCCCACCCCCAACCCACTCAACAAGTAGGTGCCTAAACTCGCGATTCGCCTATGCCACCTGCTGTTACGCGAACCGTGAGGAACGAACAATTGGTCCACGTTGCTTTCCACTTGACACCAACGACGCATTGGTTCAACAGTGCCACTTTGACACATCAACGACGACATCCAACGCCTCTTCCACTCTTGACATCAACGACATTGGTTCAACGCTGCCACTCTTGACACCAACGACGATTGGTCCAATGCTGCCACTCTTGATATCAACGATGATTGGTTCAACTCTGCCACTCTTGACATCAACTTATCGCATTGGTTCCACGCTGCCACTTGACATCAACGACGATTGGTCCAATGCTGCCACTCTTGACATCAACCACTATTGGTCCAATGCTGCCACTTCACATCAATGACGATTGGTTCAACGCTGTTTCCACTCTTCACCTTAATGCATCGCTGACCTGTGATGGTCGCTCGCTTGGATAACACGGATGTCAGGTAAGCAGGTTACCTGTGTGTGGGGTCTGTGCACTCCACCCAATACCTGTAACTCTGTGAAACACATGTCCAATTTGAGAAGCTAACATTGCCCGTGTTTCGGCACAGTCGCTCTGGAGGAGACGGGTTCATGCCACTTGTATAATTGTCTTATCGATATCATGATTGTAATTCGCTACTGCACTCCATGGTGAAACGCTAGGTAATGATCCTGCCTTGTTTCAACTCCAACATGTGGGTCCTGGCATTCAGGTCGACGCCAGCATGTAAAACCCTGTTCAGGTGACCTGTGTGTGGTCTGATTCAGTTTTTTACCGCTGATAACATTATCTTCCAACAGCAATATCACAGCTGGAGGACACCAGAAATGGGCTTCACATCAGTTGAGCTTTTTGCATGACACTGAATTTTACCCCTCTCGACCATGTTCTCGCACATCACTCTAAAACAACAATTCAACAACATGTTGTGAATGGAATTATCTCATTTCCAACCCACAACGTACCCCAAATTCAGATATACTAGTCAAGATGCATTATATGCCCCCTTATGAAACAAATTCACCATGAATTCAAAACTCTCAAAAGATGACTAGACTAATCCAAGTAAATAAATGACATAACACACATATGATGGAATTGATTTATGAGCTTTCACAAATGAGTTTTGGCAAAAACGCCCTGCTTAAAAGGACCCACATGTAAATTGTACTTACATTCACTAAATGAAACGCTACAGATAACACACACACAATTGATTAAGAGTTTCAGGATAAACATGTACCGGAAGCATCAGTCTTGTAAATATGGTTGATATCTACCAACTAACCCATAATTTTGATACTATCAGAAACACGTTCCATTCTAACATTTCACTGAAACAAGAAGGGCTTAGGAAGAAGGACATCTTTAAGTTCATGAAAGAATTGCATGGCATCTCCACAGAAACGTCAAATTCATGCCATAAGTTTCAGGCAATGCAATCACATTTGTGAGAGCACAGGTTGGGCTCTTAAATAAAGATTCTCAAAAATGCTTCCCGCCTTTGCATGGAAAGTAAGAATTATATAAAGCTGTGGTATCTCTGGAATTCAGTTGATATGTACCATACATCCAGTCCCGAGCTCCAAAGCGCCCACAGGCAAAGTCAACTTGGACTAGGGTTAAAGGACAGCCCATGCAGTCACATCCTGAATCCTCAGTCATACAGGATGCTCACACTGACAAGTCAGGAATTTCTACAATTAGATTGAAACTCTAGGCTTGTGAATGTATAAAAGTTCAGGCAAAACCCAAAACAAAATATTATGTGTGTATACTGCTATCCATATCTTCATGTTTCTCCTCCCAGCTTCATCCACCAGGATGACGTGTGTGGGGTCTTGTTCAGGTGACCTGTGTGTGGGGTCTGGTTCAGGTGACCTGTGTGTGGGTCTGGTTCAGGTGACCTGTGTGGGGGTCTGGTTCAGGTGACCTGTGTGTGGGGTCTGGTTCAGGTGACCTGTGTGTGGGGTCTGGTTCAGGTGACCTGTGTGTGGGGTCTGGTTCAGGTGACCTGTGTGTGGGGTCTGGTTCAGGTGACCTGTGTGTGGGGTCTGGTTCAGGTGACCTGTGTGCAGGGTCTGGATTCAGTGACCTGTGTGTTGGGTCAGTCTAAAGGTGACCACCAAAGTGTGTAGTAAGTCTAGTTCAGGTGACCTGTGTGTGGGAGTCTGGTTCAGGTGACCTGTGTGTGGTGTCTGGTTCAGGTGACCTGTGTGTGGGGTCTGGTTCAGTTCAGTGACCTGTGTGTGGGGTCTGGATCGGGTGACCTGTGTGTGGGGTCTCGTTCAGGTGACCTGTGTGTTGGGTCTGGTTCAGGTTAGCGGTGTGGGGTCTGGTTCAGGTGACCTGTGTGGTGTCTGGTTCAGGTGACCTGTGTGTAGGGTATGGTTCAGGTGACCTGTGTGTGATCTGGTTCAGGTGACCTGTGTGTGGTGTCTGGTTCAGGTGACCTGTGTGTGGGGTCTGGTTCAGGTGACCTGTGTGTGGGGTCTGGTTCAGGTGACCTGTGCGGGGTCTGGTTGTGTGTGTTTCTGGTTCAGGTGACCTGTGTGTGGTGTCTGGTTCAGGTGACCTGTGTGTGGTCTGGTTCAGGTGACCTGTGTGTGGGGTCTGGTTCAGGTGACCTGTGTGTGGGGTCTGGTTCAGGTGACCTGTGTGGGGTTTGGTTCAGGTGACCTGTGTGTGGTCTGGTTCAGGTGACCTGTGTGGGGTCTGGGTGTGTGGGGTCTGGTTCAGGTGACCTGTGTGGGATCTGGTTCAGGTGACCTGTGTGGGGTCTGGGTGTGTGGGGTCTGGTTCAGGTGACCTGTGTGTGGTCTGGTTCAGGTGACCTGTGTGTGGGGTCTGGTTCAGGTGACCTGTGTGTGGGGTCTGGTTCAGGTGACCTGTGTGGGGTCTGGTTCAGGTGACCTGTGTGTGGGGTCTGGTTCAGGTGACCTGTGTGTAGGGTCTGGTTCAGGTGACCTGTGTGTTGGGATCTGGTTCAGGTGACCTGTGTGTGGGGTCTGGTTGTCGGTATGTCAGTTGGTCTGTCATGGTTGTATGTTCACACATTGTTTAGAGGTTTCTTCAATTTTGTTGTTTCAATAATTTTAGAGAATGAGAAAGACACACCAGAAATTGTACCCACATTGTACCCATGTAGGCAATCGAACCCTGGTTTTCGCTTTAACAACTAGGCTACCCCATCCGCCCCACCTGGGTTTAGAGCTAGAAGCCAATATTATCTTGTCTAGTATACTGTTAAAAACTGGGAGACATTCAATCAAGATCTGTCACAATTTTATATTGTTTATGGTTTAACAGTGTAACAGGAACATCTGACTGAAGTTGTCGTTGAATGTCCGATAACCACAGATTGTGTAAGATGATTGGCCAAAGCGTCATTTAACATGAAAAACAAAAATCCGCCTCTCTCAAGATAATCCTGGATTCGACAAGGCATACTGCTTATCAAATGTCCAATGTCAACCTCGTCTATCCTATCCCTTACTTCCTGTAGGACAGGAAGTTCTTTGAGATGGGTCGGCGGTTGCTGAGGATATCCAAGACATGGTTGATGGGTGACATTTGTGGAGAGTGTCCTGGCCTACGGTACTTTGGTGTTCTGCTGGGAAGTACTCAGTGAAAAATGCGAGCCCTGTGCGTTCTTGCGTTGCCACCCAGAAACACAAAACGACGTCCACGTCCGCACGCAAATGGCACCACAGGTGCCTCCAGCATATTGTGTTATTGCCCAGTGACACGTCCGTGAAAAACATTTAAACATGTTCTGCCGGCCAGTGATCCCACCCCAACCCACTACCGTTAGGTGCCTAAACTCGCATTCCGTCTATGCTACACTCGTTTGTGCCATGAAACCGTGAGAACGAACAATTGGTCCAACGCTGCTTCCACTCTTGACACCAACGACGATTGGTTCAACAGTGCCACTCTTGACATCAACGACGATTGGTCCAACGCTCCTTCCACTCTTGACATCAACGACGATTGGTTCAACGCTGCCACTCTTGACATCAACGACGATTGGTCCAACTCTGCCACTCTTGACATCAACGACGATTGGTCCAATGCTGCCACTCTTGACATCAACGACGATTGGTCCAATGCTGCCACTCTTGACATCAACCACTATTGGTCCAATGCTGCCACTCTTCACATCAATGACGATTAGTTCAACGCTGCCACTCTTGACACCAACGACGATTGGTTCAACGCTGTTTCCACTCTTGACACCAACGACGATCGGCTGCTATGTGATGGTCGTTCAAGCGTGGGATAACACGTGGATGTCAGGCAAGCAGGTTACCTGTGTATCGTTAGTGCACTCAATCTAACACCTGTAACTCTGTGAAACACATCTCCAATTTGAGAAGCACATTGACCACGGTTTCGTGGCACAGTCGTTCTGAGGAGACGGTCTTGGGCGTCACTTGTATAATTGTTTATCGATATCATGATTGTAATCTGCTACGTACCGATGGTGAAACGTTACATAATGATCCGTCTTGTTTCAACTTCAACATGCCAATCCTGACATGACGGACGCCGCATGTAAAAAAAACCCTGTTCAGTTGAGTTTAGTGAGTGAGTTTAGTTTTACGCTGCTTTGAGCAATATTCCAGCAATATCACAGCGGAGGACACCAGAAATGGGCTTCACATCAGTTGAGTTTTTAACAATATGACACTGACACTGAATTTTACCCCGACCATGTTCTCGTGCACATCACGAAAAACAATTGCACTAAATAACATGTTGTGAATGGAATTATATCTCATTTCCAAATTCCACGAAGTGGTTGTTTGTAATGGTACCTCAAATTCAGATATACTAGTCAAGATGCATTATATGCCCCCTTAAGTGAAAACAAATTCACCATGAATTGGAAAAATCCCTAAAAGATGACTAGACTAATCCAAGTAAATAAATGACATAACACAGACATGATGGAATTGATTTATGAGCTTTCTACAAATGAGTTTTGGCAAAAAACGGCCCTGCAGCGAAAAAGGACCCATGTAAATTGTACTTACATTCACGCAAATGAAACGTTACAGATAACACATACACACTGATTGGAAGAGTTTCAGATAAACATGTACTCGGAAGTATCAGTCTTGTAAATATGGTTGATATCTACCAACGAATCTACTTGATACTATCAGAAAACACGGTTCCATCAATATTTTCGACTGAAACAAGAAGGGCGCAGGGGAAGAAGTGACATCTTTAAGTTCATAAGAATTGCATGGCATCTTCACAAGAACAAATTTATGCCATGTTTCAGGGCAATGCAATCACATTTGTGAGAGCACAGGTTGGGCTCTTAAATAAAGATTTCCACGAAAAAATGTTTCCGTCTTTGCAGAAAGTAAGAATTATATAAAGCTGTATAGCAGTGGAATTCAGTTGATATGTACCATACATCCAGTCCCGAGCTCCAGTCTACCACACAGGCAAAACAACTTGACTAGGTTGGGAAGATGAGTTCATGCAGTCACCCATCCTTGAATCCTCAGTCATGTTGTGATGCCTGTCACACTGACAAGTCAGGAATTTCTACAATTAGATTGAAACTCGAGGCTTGTGAATGTATAGAAAGTTCAGGCAAAACCCAAAACAAAAATAGTGTGTAAGGCTGCTATCCATATCTTCATGTTTCTCCCTCCCAGCTTCATCCACCAGGATGACAGGTGAAAACGCATTTAAGCACAAATAACAAAATAACTTATTGTGTGACTTATTTGATGCTACTATAACATAGATGTCACTTGGTAACACACTTCAAATAGAATCGGGTTGTACTTTGAGTCACTTTGCTTTGGAAACAATTTGTTAAGAGTGTTTACTTCATTACTTCAGGGCATAAATTTCCCTAGGGCCAGAGGGGTTGAAATTAAGATAAGGAAATGTTTTCACATTACATGATGGAATGAAAAGTCTGGGCAGGTGGGAGATAGGAAACACAGAAAGAACTGGACAGCCTGTACAGGGTTCATATTCTGCAGACAGATGCACAGAACACAAATATTATGTCAGGAGATGGTTGAGTTTGGGAAGATTATGTGTGACAACATTCTGGGTATGATATAAACACTTTAAAGGAAATAAAGTACAATAGATGTAAACCGCAGACATTTGGCACAAGTAAGACTAACGAAGGGAAGCCTACAGGACCCTTAACACAGCTCTCAGATAATACAATAAACACACAAAACATATATCTTGTCACAAATCTCTTTGGTAGATTGTTTGGTGATGGAATCTGATATACATTTTGGCATTTGGCATTTTTATCCTGACTAAAAAATCTCCCACTAATCTTACTGAAACATGTCGCTGTAATAAAGGAAAGGTTTAAGTGTTAACAGACACATTTCACTGAAGCATCTACTGCCACTGAAGAGGCACAAGACAGCTTCAGATGAAAGTAAAAATAATCAGCATGAGCCTGTACTAGGTATTTTGATCTTGCTTCTTGCACACTTAAACATCATCAAACCAAGCCTATCAGATGACTTCAAGGTAAAACTAATGACAACTACAGGAACACACAAGTACATAGCACCTTCACAATCAGCCAGTGTCAACATATACAACATCTGTCACAAATATCTTTGGCACACTTATCACAGTAGTTTTAGAACTGAACATGACTTAACTGTTTTCAAACAAAAGGTATCACATTGCAACAAACACATGGAACATACTACACTTGTTTCTATAGATCACATATCAGTAAGGATATGTGGCAGGTAAATGTCCAAACCCCAGACTTTGAAACCCAAAAGTCACCCATAGATGCCTTCAATGTTTGAATCATGGTAACTCCACCATCACAGTGACAGCCTCACACATGGTAACTCCACCCTAACAGTGACAGCCTCACACATGGTAACTCCACCATAACAGTGACAGCCTCACACATGGCAACTCCACCATCACAGTGACAGCCTCACACATGGTGACAGCCTCACACATGGTAACTCCACCATAACAGTGACAGCCTCACACATGGCAACTCCACCATCACAGTGACAGCCTCACACATGGTGACAGCCTCACACATGGTAACTCCACCATAACAGTGACAGCCTCACACATGGTAACTCCACCATAACATTGACAGCCTCACACATGGTAACTCCACCATAACATTGACAGCCTCACACATGGTAACTCCACCATCACAGTGACAGCCTCACACATGGTGACAGCCTCACACATGGTAACTCCACCATAACAGTGACAGCCTCACACATGGTAACTCCACCATAACAGTGACAGCCTCACACATGGTAACTCCACCATCACAGTGACAGCCTCACACATGGTAACTCCACCATCACAGTGACAGCCTCACACATGGTGACAGCCTCACACATGGTAACTCCACCATAACAGTGACAGCCTCACACCCACCATAACAGTGACAGCCTCACACATGGTAACTCCACCATAACAGTGACAGCCTCACACATGGTAACTCCACCATAACAGTGACAGCCTCACACATGGTAACTCCACCATAACAGTGACAGCCTCACACATGGTAACTCCACCATAACAGTGACAGCCACACATGGTAACTCCACCATAACAGTGACATGGTAACTCCACCATAACAGTGACAGCCTCACACATGGTAACTCCACCATCACAGTGACAGCCTCACACATGGTGACAGCCTCACACATGGTAACTCCACCATAACAGTGACAGCCTCACACATGGTAACTCCACCATCACAGTGACAGCCTCACACATGGTGACAGCCTCACACATGGTAACTCCACCATAACAGTGACAGCCTCACACATGGTAACTCCACCATAACAGTGACAGCCACACACATGGTAACTCCACCATCACAGTGACAGCCTCACACATGGTGACAGCCTCACACATGGTAACTCCACCAACAGTGACAGCCACACACATGGTAACTCCACCATCACAGTGACAGCCTCACACATGGTGACAGCCTCACACATGGTAACTCCACCCTAACAGTGACAGCCTCACACATGGTAACTCCACCACACACAGTGACAGCCTCACACATGGTAACTCCACCATAACAGTGACAGCCTCACACATGGTAACTCCACCATAACAGTGACAGCCTCACACATGGTAACTCCACCATCACAGTGACAGCCTCACACATGGTAACTCCTCAGCCTCACATGGTAACTCCACCATAACAGGTGACAGCCTCACACATGGTAACTCCACCATCACAGTGACAGCCTCACACATGGTAACTCCACCATCACAGTGACAGCCTCACACATGGTAACTCCACCATAACAGTGACAGCCTCACACATGGTAACTCCACCATAACACAGTGACACATGGTGAGCCTCACACATGGTGAACTCCACCATCACAGTGACAGCCTCACACATGGTAACTCCACCATAACAGTGACAGCCTCACACATGGTAACTCCACCATAACAGTGACAGCCTCACACATGGTAACTCAGCTCTCACACATGGTGACAGCCACCATCACATGACAGCCTCACACATGGTAACTCCACCATCACAGTGACAGCCTCACACATGGTGAACTCCACCATAACAGTGACAGCCTCACACATGGTAACTCCACCATCACAGTGACAGCCTCACACATGACAGCCTCAGCCTCACACATGGTAACTCCACCACAGTCACAGTGACAGCCTCACACATGGGTAACTCCACCATCACAGTGACAGCCTCACACATGGCACCATGGACAGCCTCACACATGGCAACTCCACCATAACAGCCTCCACACATGGTAACTCCACCCTAACAGTGACAGCCTCACACATGGTAACTGCACCATCACAGTGACAGCCTCACACATGGTAACTCCACCATAACAGTGACAGCCTCACACATGGTAACTCCACCATGACAGTGACAGCCTCACACATGGTAACTGCACTCTAACAGTGACAGCCTAACACATGGTAACTCCTTCATAACATTGACAGCCTAACACATGTAGTCAAGTTTCAAACAAAAAGTAGCAGGTTTCCTGCAAACGAAATAACAAATTAACAAGCCATTCTGGTTAAGTTATCTTGATATTAAATCTAAGTCATAACCTATGTCCACTTGACAGTTACCCTGACCTTGAACATCACCTCCAACTGTGAGAACCTTACTTGCTGCAGACGTGGGCACAGTATGAAACCTCCCTACCATGCCCACAATACCTGGCCAATTCAACTATACACATGTCATTTCAACAGGGTTCCCACAGGCATGGCAGGCCAAAATTCCCCGACTTTTCCCTGACAAGTATAGATTTTTCCCTGACCATTTAAGTGTAAAAACTGTCCTTCTTCCTCCCTTTCAGTCAGTCCTAACCACCCTGTTAATATATTTCCTTCACACATATCATAAATACACACAATATTTGTTAATTTATTACATTAACCAAAACATTGATATTTGTGATGAAGAAAATTTTCCTTGACTCTGCTGCCACAATGTTACATAATACTATTAGAAACAATTGATCGTGACCATCAAATATATATTCTCAGGTGAAGTCAGTAATATATCATCTGAAAACTTTGTATTTTATATTAAAGGCTTTTGACAAAGAGCATAAATGTGAAACTAATGATTTAATTGAATTGTTTCATTCAAAGTCAGGAACACATTTCTTTATTTTCACAAAATTTTGAAATTATAAAAGGCGTATTTGGAAAGAATAAACATGCAAGATGTAACTTTACATTCAGTACAACCATGACAACTAGATTATGAACATCATTAAACCACTTTCAATTTTGTGAAAAAACAGCAAATGTCAGAACAAAGGGCATATTATAAACCTATGCTGTACTTTAACAATGAAACTTATATGGGTATTTTTGGCCAAAATGGGCTTTCTACAATTTGCAAGAAACCACCATAGCCATCATACTATTTATAATATTTTGGAACGGTATTCATAATGAATGGAAAATTATCTGTTAACATAGTTATCTTTAGAAGAGGTGGATCTGTTGCCTATAAAGAAAAATGTTTTTGAATGGCAAACAATTATCTATTGTTAATCACTATGCCTATCTCGGATTAGTGTTTTTTTCCATACTAAACAAGAGTCATCAGAAGATGACAAATCCACCAGCCCATACAAATATGAAAGAGCAAATCATCTGACAGTTACTTAAAGTTGAACTTCATCTTTTTAGACAAATTCCAATATGTTTCCATGGAAACCAAGAAAAATAGATATGACAAAAATCTGTAAATGGCAAAAGGCACCACTTTAGGTTCTGTTTGATATATCTGCTAAGTTTTGTTGAAAGATATTCAACGGTTTTCGAGTTGTGCTCTGGAAACAAAGCCCACCACTCTCTTTTAAGAACAGTTTAAAACGTTTTCATGGCAACCAAGAAAAATAAAAATGACAAAAATATGTAAATAGTCAAAGGCACCACTTTAGGTTCTGTTTGATATATCTGCAAAGTTTTGTTAAAAACATTGAACCATTTTCGAGTTGTGCTCCGGAAACAAAATGATTACGGATGGACGGACAGACATACGGGCAAGGCGTCGACTATATCCCCCCTCATTCATGCCAAGAGGACCCTTATCAAATTTATGTCAGTTTCCCAGAATTTTGGAATTTTAACCCGGAAAATATGTTTCATTTTGTTTGATTCACAAATCCAACCGATTGTGCTTCATAGAAGAATAGAAAAATATCCTTCAATTGACTTTGTTTCCATTCTATCCTCCAGAAATGAAAATGTAATATGTAATCTAGGGCTTTATGTAAAACATGCTGTTATGCTTAAAAGCAATCTCTTATCTGAACTGTAATTTATTTCATGAAATGTCTGTAACATGTGCTGCTGCTTTGACTTTGACTGCTACCATACCTGATTAGCGACCTTCTGAGTCTTATTTTTCCCTGACCAAAACCCTAAATTTCCCTGACTTAAACCCCAAATTCCCTGACTATTCCCTGACTTTTGAAAACATATAAAAATTCCCTGACTTTTCCCTGACTTTCAGAGAAATGCCAAATTTCCCTGACTTTTCCCTGACCTGTGGGAGCCCTGTTTCAAGCATTGATCTTCTAGGCGACCTTTACTTCTACAAAAGGTATGAGGTAGAATACTGATCCAACCTGTCAATTATAACTGGATAAGGCTTGTAACAACAAAATAACCCAACAACATTTCATTCACATTAGCCAATTTGGGCATTACAAAAATGGGCATATATAAAAATATTCATTTAATCTCATTTCAGTTCTGCAGATCAAAATCATACCATTATATAATCAATGATCAATCATTATATAAATCAATACAGTTTGTGACAAAATTAATATCTAAGACTGACTGACAGACTGAGTTTGGTTTTACCCCGCTTTAAGCAATATTCCAGCAACATCACAGCGGGGGACACCAGAAATGGGCTTCACACAATGTATCCATGTGGGGATTTGAACCCAGATCTTCGGCATGAGCCAAAGTTTTAACCACTAGGCCACCCCACCGCCACTTAATATCTAAGAGAACATTGTATCTAAGAGAACATCTAAGAGGATATTGTATCTGGTGACGATCTCTTTAAGGGTACTGACATGGTTTGCAATTTGCTTATGTGTTTATGGGGTTTTTAACATTAGGATGGAAAGAAGAAGACAAAATGTAATCACACTATGAATGGTTATGTAATAAGTTATTGACTGAACCATGAACCTATATACATATACTTTTATTTATTTGTAACTCTCTACATGTTGATACAATCAAATGCCCACCTCAGAGATCCTGTCTCCTTTACATCAAACACTTAAGTTACATCTGTGAATTTGTAGCAAACCAGAACAGCATACAAAACGTTTTGAAAAATACACACATAATTTCCATGAGACATCACATCCATGACAACGAAAAACCTGTTGGTATATCTTAGAGCAAAATAATTTGAAAGAACACCTAAAACAGATCATGACTTCCTGATACAAATATATCTGGGTTATGTAATAACATCTTCATGTAAATCGTATATCAGTACTGACCCAAACAGCTGGCCTGCTAGTGAGCCTCATGTGGAGATGCTGGATGATTCGTGTTTCTATCAATGTGGGTGGTGAGGACCAAACCTCTCAGACAGTAACAATCTTAGATAACTGGGTAATACATCATCACCTGATAGTTTAAGAATCTATGTCCACATGTAGTTGAATGGTGAATGAAATTCAATGCCTGATATATAGTACAGACACTGAAACATGGTGGTTTGTACAGTTGAATGACGAGACACAATGTGAATGTCTTTCAAACATGTTCAGTATTATATGAGCCTTCAGATGAATGACTTCCATAAATAATAACCTGTGAACATTTGAACAATCATCATTATTTTAAATAACTGGAAATAATTATTGGCTATAATTCAGTCTTGGAGAATTCTTTCTGGTTCTTTTGTTCTCTCTCCTTCCGCTTTGTGGCCAGAATCTTGAGAGCTTGTAGATGTGCGAGTTCCTTAAACTGTGGGTTGGTTGTGAACCACAATGCTAAGGCACATCTGGTGCCCTTGACAACAGCCTTAACCCCATGAAACTCACCAGCATTAAAGCTGACAAGCCGCCCACACTTGGGACTGACATTCACCTGGGGACAAAATAAGACAGTGTTGATTCATTGTCTCTTCCATTTACAATGACATTAAATATATAAACAGACAAACAAATGGAGATGACAACACTTTATCGATGATCAACTTCTTTATTTTACAATGGCGACGTATCGGTGTAGATTCTTATACCATTTTCAAGCATATAAGAATGGTATAACAATCTACACCGAAATGTCGCCATTGTAAAATACAGAAGTTGATCAACCATAAAGTGTTGTCATCTCTATGCCACCAACTTCTAGAATGCCACTCAAACAAAAGACAAAGAAATGGACTGCATATTTAATAAGGTGATACCATTCATCCTAATACTGCAACATAAGTCAGAGAAACAGTCCACAAGTGTGCAAATTATTGGAGGTTTTACCATTATATACTACTTGGTTAGCAACTCAAATGTCATGGAAACACTTGATATCCATGTATCAAGAAGTATTGACTAAAATTGCCTGTGAACTTAGTAAATGTGTATGACAGAGTAAAATCTACTCTTGTGTATGGACAAATATATCAGATAAAAATCATCAAGATCTACAGGTCACTCATGAAGGACTTGCTGTAACATTCTGATGATTTGGTTTTTTTAATTTGCAGCTGTCAGGAATTTGTTATTTTCTGAGGACTCATATTCATTAATAGTGAGTGAGTTTAGGTTGACGCAACTTTCAGCAATACTCCAGCAATATCACGGTAGGGGACACCAGAAATGGGCTTCACACATTATTCATTAATATAACTTATCATTTCTCATTAGTGCTCTCAAACAACAAATATCAGGTATATAGTCAGGATTCCAAACCACCTGTCCTTGGCAGGCAAACAGGGTCAAAAGGTTATCAATTTGTCACTTAAAGCCATAACATCAGATAGTACTGTGCAACCTGAAACAGGACATCTGTAATTACTTTAGGGGATTTCTCACATTTGTTTCTGACTTCTGGCAAGGTATCTACCTCTGAGCAGGTGTAGATAAGGTGCTGTATATTCAAAAACATATGTCCCCTTCAATAAACATGAAAAAGTACATATTGGGAAACTTCTGCAAGTAACTTATCTCACACTCTGACCACCTGAAAATGAAAAGTTGACTCAATTGTGGCAACAGTATGACCTGTGCAGCTTTCTCCTTCTGGTCTTGTCAGTCTTTCCTCTTAAGTGGATGATGTCTGGGACTGTCTGGAATTATTGTTTAACACTCAACCACAGACACACGCACAAACAGTCACACTGTCTTATTATATCTTTTGTTGTGTTGTGTGTGTCTGTCTGGATCAAAGATACTTCTCAATAGCATTCAAAGCTATTGCAGAAGCTCAACACAGATTGTTCTTGAGAAGATATTCACATAAGGCAGATGTTGAAGCTCCGGAGGAAACTCCTTGTAAAACTCCTGCTGATACCAGATGTCGCTGGATGGTTTCCATATGTGTTAGAGGAGCTGTTCTAGGTTGCAATGGAATCTGTTTGTTGTCTGAGAAGCATTGGCAAAGGATGGAGACGTAATGGTTGATCCACCAGCAGGGAGAGGAGATCCATGAGCCTGTCAGCCATGCTGGTGCCACTATATACAGTAACATCTGATGACTGCTGATCTTGGTTCAGACTTGTGAGATTAGTGCTGTAGGTGGAAATTTGTATGAGATCATGCCTTAGTTAGAGATTGTCATAGCACCCACTGTGTAAGCTGCCTTCATTTCCAGAAAGTTGACCAATGACTAGAGAATCTAATACCAAAAGACCTGATGCCATCATGTCTTCAAGATGAGCACCCATCTCCTGAGTGATCCAATCACTCTGTGAAGAGATGGTGATCTGGCAGAGGCATCCTAATTGGAGTCCCTTTTATGACGCTGATTGATTCAATCTTGAATTTATCTGCATCAGAAGATCCTGCATAGAAGTGAGAGCTCCTAGGAAGGACATCTATTGACATAGATTGTGAGGAGATCGCTGAAACTATGTATCTTGGATCTGACCTCTTGAAAATGATCCTCAAGAAAGTAAACTAGTTCACAACCGGTGGCGAAATGTTGCTCTGAAATATATCTAAACATTCTTGGGTTGAAGCTCTGACATTTCAGGATGAACAAGGAACCCTAATTTTCTTGAAGAAAGCACACAAATATTGAAAATCTTCTAAACAGGCATCCACTTTGGCACTTGGAGACAGGAAATCATCCAGGTACCCATGAATTCTTATACATTGACGATGTGAATGCACTAGGACTGTGATGATTGTGAATAGCCATGGAGCAACTGACATCCCAACGGTAGAACACTGAGCTATAGTCTGCAAAACTGTACAAATGGCTAATAAAATACATTCCAAAGCAACAAATATTCTTAAATGTGATGAAAATTATTCATTTGTCCATACCAAATCATTACTATTTAGATACACATCCTGCAGGTCTATGGAGATCATAGAGTCCCTTATAGTGATCATCTGTCTGAGGTTTCATATATGGACTCCATCCTAAACTTGTGAAGTTGTCTCAGGTGAGTGAGCGAGTAAGTGAGTTCGGTTTTACGCCTCTTTTAGCAATATTCCAGCAATATCATGGCGGGGGGACACCAGAAATTGGCTTCACACATTGTACACATGCAGGGCGTCAAACACGGGTCTTCAGCATGACAAGCTAACGATTTACCCACAAGGCTACCCCACTGTTCCCAGTTGTCTCAGGTATTCCCAGTTGATGATCTTCAGATTGATAATCATCCTGAGCTCTGTTGAATCATTCTTAGAAACCAGGAATACTGGACAGAACAACCCTGGGCAGGGCTACACGGTTGTCTTTGCCACTGAAGACTTGAGTCCCAGGAGATGATACCGATGTCCTACTGTGTGTGTCAGTGGGGTCTCTTTGCAGCTTGCAGTCAATATCCTTCCTTGATAACTTTAAGGGTCCACTGATCGGTTATTTTGTTTGTAAAGGTAGTCATTTCTGCCAGCATGAGTAATTTGTAAAGATCGTACCAACCAGGACTGGTTGCATTTCTTTGCATGCATGCATTCTTTCCAGCTTCTAAATGTTATAAGAATCCACTCAGTCAACTGTATGCTTGTCCAGATTGTTTTATACATGCATTGGAATAATTGTTGGAAGGGTTTTTGAATAACAATTCCCAATTGGACATATTGTACCTGTGACACAAAAACAATTCTATTTGGAGACAATCACATAAAGACATTTAGATAACATGAAGGAATGAGCTCAATACATACCTGTGCAGATTTATTCTTGTGAGCAAAGAAAAACTCACCACCCTCAAACTCATGGTTTAAGTAGAGAATTGCACTGAAAAGAAGACACCACACATCTCAATGTAAGCAAGCAATCATGGTGTTTACAGCTCTCACTGATACTGGTATTTAAATCAGGCCACAACCAACTGGACATACAGTTAATACATGCAGCATCAATGACATCTTGTTTGTGTGTCTTAATACATGCGGAGAACTCTCCTTCAATTATCATCCAACATTTATATATAGAAATGTGAATGAACGACCCATAATCTGCTTATATTCATTTGAGAGATCAATGGCCCACCTGTCTATGTTTATTGGAGGTCAATGGCCTACATGTAATCTGTCTATATAAATTAGAGGTCAGTGGTCTACCTGTAATCTGTCTATATTTATTGGAAGTCAATGGCCTACCTGTAATCTGTCTATATAAATTGGAGGTCAATGGCCTACCTGTAATCTGTCTATATAAATTGGAGGTCAATGGCCTACCTATAATCCCTCTGAATATAAGCAGGAAACTCCTTGGGACAGGAACCATCAGGCTTTAGCATACAGTTGTCCGCATGGACAGGGTGACTCAGGTCCGAGCGGTCAAGGTTACTGTCTGAAACAAGCAGAGGTCATCAGACATGTTACATGAATACAAAGCAGTGGTTCAGGCCTGAAAGCAGATTTTCACAACTTTCCTGAAAGGCCTAAAGGTTAACAAGTCCTAAAAATTATGCAACTTAAATCTCTGTGCCATAGTCAGTTTTTTTAGGAATTGTTTATGAACAGGGTCATACATTGTTTTGAGTGATTCTTGAAGATTAGACTAGAAATGATGTTTATTGTATTCTGATATTTCAGTGCAGTAAGTTTCACTAGTCTGTAAATGACATTTAGAAGTGAGACATATAAGGGAGAGAATGTATGGATGTCAACTTGAGGAATACAACAGCTTGGGGTCTGCCCATCAGGTGGAAGAGTGTTAGAGAGCATCTACATGCCCATCTGAGAACAACAGAGATAACTAAACATAATGGGGCACCAACTGCTCATTAACACTGTTTGGTGATTAGCAATGGGCAAATAGAAGCCAGGAGATAATTGGCAATTGGCTCTAATTAAATAATAGCTCCATTGTTAAGTTTCTACCTTGTTCTGATGATACAGAAATAAAATTTCTCCAGATGTTATTGATATGATCTGGTGATGAAAAGTTATAAAAGTTAAGGAACAATTAGAAGTTTCATTAGAACCACTAATTTATGAAACCATGATGCACCAGTCTGCCCATATATGTAAGATGGCACATGCATCCCTCTTGTTGTCCTGTCCCGGTACAATGACATAAGAAATGATTCACTCTCCTTCCTCAACAAGTGAACCACAATACTGAATGGTTATTTAAATCAAGTTTTTGTAGATATCTTGACATAAGTACTCAAACATACTTGTCCAAACCATGTAAACATTAAATGTATAGAGCAGATGACCCTTCATAGTGTGACTTCATGGAAACTTGGAGATACATATGAAACATGGAGGAGAACTGGATTATCTTTGGCATTGTTTTTCCAAGTAGACACAAACATGTGACACAGCTACCCTTTCCCCACACCTTTAGATCATTACACTATACAGCCATATGTCCGTATGTCGTAATCTGCAGGATCTGTATTAGAATCTCTGTCTCGATGTGAATGTTGTGGTGTACAACTCACCATCGATGGCTGACCGACAAACAAGGTGTGTGAAGTCAAAGTACAGAGGCTTTGTCACATTGAAGTATTTCTCTGTGAACAGACGACTGCGCTCACTCAGGTCCACAAAAAGCTCCACGGCAGCGTAGCTCACCTTCTCCGAGTTGGCCAACTGAGGAAGGGAGCAGCATCACATGACAACAGTGAACATGTTCGTACTAAAGATATCTTGTGATCATGGTATAAGAGGCATATGTCACGCAATGGTTACAAACAGAAAATCCCTGTTAAACATTTCAAGATCAAAATCAATGAAGAACAACGTTAAATCTTTACAACAACTTACAGAGGACAACTGTGAATTGATGGAAATTTAATGAATATATTACTGTTATAAGGTTAATATTGTGTTTAGTGTACACCAAGTATGTAAAACACTGTACATCAGACATCTCATGACCAGCGGCAGCAACACAGTGACGACTACTGGGCAAGTACTTCAATAAATATATCATAACTGGTCTACAAACTATTTATATTCAAACAGCACACTACAGAGAGGACCTCTATACAATAAATGGGCCCTACAATGCTATAGATGACACCAACACACTACAGACTATAAATGGGCTTACAATGCTATAGAAGAGACGAACACACTACAGACTATAAATGGGCTTACAATGCTATAGAAGAGACCAACACACTACAGACTATAAATGGGCCCTACAATGCTACAGATGACACCAACACACTACAGACTATAAATGGGCTTACAATGCTATAGAAAAGACCAACACACTACAGACTATAAATGGGCACTACAATGCTACAGATGACACCAACACACTACAGACTATAAATGGGCTTACAATGCTATAGAAGAGACCTAACACACAACACACTACAGACTATAAATGGGCTTACAATAAATGCTTATAATGATGATGACACCAACACACTACAGACTATAAATGGGCTTACAATGCTATAGATGACACCAACACACTACAGACTATAAATGGGCTTACAATGCTATAGATGACACCAACACACTACAGACTATAAATGGGCTTACAATGCTATAGATGACACCAACACACTACAGACTATAAATGGGCTTACAATGCTATAGAAGATGACACCAACACACTACAGACTATAAATGGGCTTACAATGCTATAGATGACACCAACACACTACAGACTATAAATGGGCTTACAATGCTATAGATGACACCAACACACTACAGACTATAAATGGGCCCTACAATGCTATAGATGACACCAACACACTACAGACTATAAATGGGCTTACAATGTTATAGAAGAGACCAACACACTACAGACTATAAATGGGCTTACAATGCTATAGATGACACCAACACACTACAGACTATAAATGGGCTTACAATGCTATAGATGACACCAACACACTACAGACTATAAATGGGCTTACAATGCTATAGATGACACCAACACACTACAGACTATAAATGGGCTTACAATGCTATAGAAGAGACCAACACACTACAGACTATAAATGGGCTTACAATGCTATAGATGACACCAACACACTACAGACTATAAATGGGCTTGCTATAGATGACACCAACACTGCTATAGGGCTTACAATGACACCAACACACTACAGACTATAAATGGGCTTACAATGCTATAGAAGAGACCAACACACTACAGACTATAAATGGGCTAACAATGCTATAGATGACACCAACACACTACAGACTATAAATGGGCTTACAATGCTATAGATGACACCAACACACTACAGACTATAAATGGGCTTACAATGCTATAGATGACACCAACACACTACAGACTATAAATGGGCCCTAACAATGCTATAGATGACACCAACACACTACAGACTATAAATGGGCCCTAACAATGCTATAGATGACACCAACACACTACAGACTATAAATGGGCTTACAATGCTATAGATGACACCAACACACTACAGACTATAAATGGGCCCTACAATGCTATAGATGACACCAACACACTACAGACTATAAATGGGCTTACAATGCTATAGATGACACCAACACACTACAGACTATAAATGGGCTTACAATGCTATAGATGACACCAACACACTACAGACTATAAATGGGCTTACAATGCAATGCTATAGACTGACTACCAATGGGCTTACATACTACAGACTATAAATGGGCTTACAATGCTATAGATGACACCAACACACTACAGACTATAAATGGGCTTACAATGGGCTGACACCAACACACTACAGACTATAAATGGGCTTACAATGCTATAGATGACACTAACACACTACAGACTATAAATGGGCTTACAATGCTATAGATGACACCAACACACTACAGACTATAAATGGGCTTACAATGCTATAGATGACACCAACACACTACAGACTATAAATGGGCTTACAATGCTATAGATGACACCAACACACTACAGACTATAAATGGGCTTACAATGCTATAGATGACACTAACACACTACAGACTATAAATGGGCTTACAATGCTATAGATGACACCAACACACTACAGACTATAAATGGGCTTACAATGCTATAGATGACACCAACACACTACAGACTATAAATGGGCTTACAATGCTATAGATGACACCAACACACTACAGACTATAAATGGGCTTACAATGCTATAGATGACACCAACACACTACAGACTATAAATGGGCTTACAATGCTATAGATGACACCAACACACTACAGACTATAAATGGGCTTACAATGCTATAGATGACACCAACACACTACAGATGGGACCAATGCACTAACATACTATGGATCTACACTGAAGATATGCCCTATACCCTTGAGAGTAAATAAAGTACTCAATGGAATGAAATACCCTTACGAACTGCTCCATATTCCAGAGCACACAGAAAGTAGGACTGTTCTACTCGACATCAAACATACTAGCTTATCTGTGTACCTTCAGACAACAGTGTACTGTGTAGAAAAAACACATCTATGCTGGGATTGAAGTTAACACTAGTAAGCTTGCCCAAGACAAATACACTTGAAGACACACTTGTCTCAATTCCTTATGGGCTGGCACTTTAAAATTTGCTGAAATAATCTCCTACAGAGTTACCATCAGACTGGTAAAACACAGTTTCTAACAGCTGCTTACTGGAAAATAACAAATGTTGCCAACACCTTTGTGTACAAATTCTTGTTATACATTTATACCAACAACTCAATCTAATGACTGCCAGGTGCATGTAAATGTGATAATTCTAGCTGAATGCCTTCAAGAACAGATTCAAGACAAAAGAATTCCAGTGCCCCACAGGAGTATAGTAACCCTCTATGAACATATTGACTCCAAATATTTCCAAAAAACAAGAGTTCTTAAACTGCTGCAGAACCTGAACTAAAGACATGTTTTTACACTGGTACCTGGCTTGAACAATTACTTGTTTATCTGAACACACTGTACATCCTCCCCATAGTTTAAGGACAAGGCCTTCTGAACCATGGGACACCTAATGCTAAGACTACTTTCACTGGATCCAGGATACTGGAAACGAATCAAGTACGTGTTGTGTATTTTTACAAATTTCCTTCATGTCAATCATTGTCCCTTAGATACTGTATCTCCACAAATATAACCCACCAGATCATGCATGACAACATACAAACCTTGGCTGCACGGTAAACTGTGAGGCCCTGGAACATCTCATGCTCTGTGTGAGGGGAGATAACTGATGGCTTAGTGGGAAGATGCTCGTACCCATCACCGACTAAAGCACCCGTCTAGAAGCCAGCAGAGATGATAAGCAGAGGACAATATAGACAGGATGTGAAGGAAAGCTGACAGTGTGCTGAGACCACATATCAGGGTGTATTCCAATACAGTGCCAATACTGGTGCCAACAGTGGTACAGATACATATCATTCAAGTCTACAGCTGTATGGCCAGCCTACCAGGTGCATGGAACAAAAAGGAAAAATTCTGGGTTGCAGCAAAATAGAAATGGCTCTCCAAACAAAAAGTGGTGTAGCCTAAAGCCACACAAATTTCAGCTTAGCTGACCATGCTTTGAGATTTTGTTGTATACAAACTTTTTCACATCTATTTTTCATATTGCTCAACATATGAGAACAATAAGCATTATTGAAACTATTTTACTGTAGTGAAATGATCCAGAGTCTGCAAAACACTCTCACAGCTAATCAGCATATATTGATACCACTATTAAATATACACCCTGATATAGACAGCTAGTACAAATCAATTTTCAAAAGCAATAAACAAAACTGGACCAGTAGTAAAATAGTCCTTGACTGAACAAAACTACTAATGGTAAACTATGAGGTTGTCTGTATTGTTTGAGATTGTCTGGACATGGCAGTTAGTTGTGAGAAGACATAATGATCATGAGAGTGTTAGAACACAAATATGATGCACAAAAAGTCCTGTCTCAATACTCAAAATGAAAGTACTGGTACGTTTCACTGAAAACAAATGGGCAAACTTGTGAGTACTTACAAATTATACCTATAAATTGCATATTTAAAATACCTATCCCATCTCACTTTATGCACTTTCTCTTCTACTTTTGCGGAGTGGAAATTACCTGGAACTAAGTCTTCAGCCTCTCTTAACAGCACACCTGAACACATCCCTGCTCCAGTTGCTGATATATGTCATCTCGAGAAGCTCCAGCAGAGCATGTGACCTGCCCAGGCTGATCATGTGACTGTCAGTTGTAGTCATTCTCATGTCTGGGAACCTGCAGCCTGTCACAGTCTTGTGAAGCAGCAATGTAGATCTTCAAAGCTCTAACTGGGTAGAGTTATCATAAGGCCCCAGAATGGTGGACAATGGTGGAATAGTGATAAGTCCATCCGGTTGTCCTGGCATCTGATTCTTTGCTATAAAATGCCAATGGAGACCAAGGAAAAACCTCACCATATTTCTTCCTCTCAAGCCGTATTTGGTTCACAAAAAGTGGCCGGAATTCTGATTTATTCGCAACAGTGGAAAAAGCTACAAAGAGTATTGTCTTGAGGGTGATGCAAGTCTTTGTGTTACGGTGGTTAGGGACGGTGGGGTAGCCTAATGCTTAAAACGTCTGCTCGTCACGCTGAAGACACGGGTTCGATTCCCCACATACAATGTGTGAAGCCCATTTCTAGTGTTCCCGACCATGATATTGCTGGAATGTTGCTAAAAGCGACGTAAAACCCACTCACTCACTCACCTAAAGGAGGTAAGTAGTCATCTGAAAAGATCGGCAATCAGTGATCAACAATCTGCAGGAATGGATGCAGAAAAAACTTGAAAAGAGGCATAGCTGTAGATGTCCCCTGAATCTGAGGGCCTAGGCTGACATGAGAAGGCCAAGAAACTTCTACCACTGACTAAGGGATCTCTAATGTGCCAACAGTACAAGACATTGGATCTTCATGCATCTGTTGAGAAGGACAAACATCTTCCCCAGGAAGCACAGTCCCAAATGCGTTTACCAGGATGGTCGTGGAAATACCAAACAGGAACCTTCCACTGGTAGTGGATTCCCAGGAAGACACACGAAATAAACTTATGAGAACGCTGGTAGATCAGTACATGAGATATGTTTCTTAGATCAACGTTGATCAGATTGTCCCCTCTTTTGATGATCATACAAAGAAGCAACAACATGATATGATCGTTGAGGAGGGTCAAGCACCAGGGGCTGTAACCCTCTGTCAGAGCACAACTCATGATCAAACTTCTCATCTGTATGAGCGAGCAGGCCAGCCAACAAATTTCCACCACCTCCAACAAATGTTGGTAATTAAATGTATAATGGCCCATAATCCACTGATGGAACCAAGACCGGTGATCTCACGTGACAATCGCACAGGAAAATAGAAATCTTGGGAAGCAACATAAAGTCTCCAATCATCACCAGGGCAAGGCAAACAGCAGAGTTGTATCTTGAGTGGATTAATGGTCCGAGTGAGTAGGGTCCTGCCCAGGAAGTGTTGGAGGAAGTTCAAATCATGCTGGGAAGACGACAGTTGATATGAGGCCAGGATCATCACATGAAGTTGTATCAATGATCCAAGAGGGACTGCTGAAGGTGGAGGTTTAAGTAATTGACACGGCCTATATTAAGGCATGAAATCCAAAATGACAAAAGACAATCCTGGGTATGGGGTATGGGGATCCCAAAAGCTGGGCATAGTCAGCTGAAGATGAATTAACAAACTGAAAAATTGAGTAGATCAATAATCGGTAGAGTAAGACTGCGACCTGGACGACATAAACGGCAAGGATGAACCAGGGATGGAAGACGCCGAAGGATACGAAGGATGGATCTCTCAAGAGTGGCCTATCTGAAGGGGACACTGATCCTCTCACAACTTCTAGTCTGTAAGAACAACTAGAGCGATTGTTGAACATTAATTGACTGTCGATCCTGTTGGGATCCTCGAATCCACAGGAGGGTTTGACACAGAAGACATACTGATCAAGGATCCTGTGGGGTGATGATTGATTTCTTTTCTACGTTTCGGATGGTCAGAAGAGACGCCTAAGGGTCTCGCTACAATAGGAGTCCAAGGGAGCATCCAAGAACTCTGGTGATGATTATATCAGCAACTGGAGCAGGGGTGTGTTCAGGTGAGCTGCTCTGAGAGGCTGAAAACTTTGTTCCAGGGTGTTTCCACACTACTGTTGAAAGTAGAAGAGGTGGAGCCAGACGGAACATGAGACAGGCTAAGTTTAAAAATATATCATTTCTAAATAAACTTACACAATGTGTTTTGATTTACTTCTAAACTAGGCAAGTGTATCAATAAACCTCTGATGCTTTCAGAATTCAATGAAAAATAATCATTAAAAATCTATGTAAAGATACTACATAAACAAGAGAGATTGACACTAGATACTAAGTAGACATGGGAGTATTTCAGAGTCACTATCTAGCCTTCATCTAATGACACTTCTAAGCTGAAACCTGCACCACTTTCAAAGCATTGCTATGTGCTGATGGCAAATGATATAGTTACAAAGCCAACATATATATACATAAATATATATGTGTACCTCCCACGCGTCAATCATTGTAAAGCCCTTAAAATTCTCCTGGAGTGTGTGAGGGAAAGAATTTCCTTCATAGCCACTCCCCTCTGTACCGTGAGTCTGAAATACAACAGCCCTTAACATCATCACACATTATACCACTCACTTCCTCAAAGTTATTTCCTGTCTATACATTACACAATAGCCCTACCCTCTGTAGCTGATAAGAAAATATTGCCACAGGTCACCTGGATATGTAGTCATCAGTTTAAAAAGTCAGCAAAGGTAGCCACTTAACAAAACATACCCTGGTACCTGTCAACAATATTCAAAAATATTCTGTATAAGCAACTTAATTACTAAAATACTAACATGTCACGAACAACATAAGATTTTTGTATGCAAAGGAGAAACAAAATTCCAAAGTTAAATTCCCTCAGCTTGCAAACTTTAGTTCGGATTTACAGAGTCAAGTATACACTTTGAGAGAATTTAGAAGCAAAGTCCAAAAACATGAAACTCTGCTAAACGTGAAACATATAATGTGTTTTGAATGACATACCAAATTTCACTACATTGTGTACTGAAATGGCTGACTAATCACCATAAGAAGAGGCAGCACTGAGTATGGTCGATGTGCACAGTTACATCAAACCCTGGTCCAACTAAGACATTCATATCATCCTCTGTTTTGTGGAGCTATATTTGATTTTAATAGAAGTACATATGGCGCCCATGTGAAGTCTTAAAACCTTGCTCCCCAGTATATAGTTAATATATTAAAATTTCATTAATCAAAGATACCTGGTGGCAAGTCCCAAACACTCACACACAATTTCAGTTGAATCCATCCAGCCATTTCAGGCAAGAGATACAAAATGTAAAAGGACAGACATGACTACAATGACAGAAACCTGTGATGACATTAACAGCTTTGATGACTGATCATAGTACTGCCAACAGTGAACATCGTTACATCAGTTTCCATCCCAGCAGAGGTACCTTGTTACTACAAAGACTTTGTGATTTTGACTGAGCCGTTCACAGCATTGGGGGCTTTTCACAGATATCAGAAGGAGCATAATTATATAAATAAAAATCATTCAAACTACACAGAAATATCAAAGTGTAAATGCGTAGTTCTCTTTAAATCAGATAATTTCTTTTCCTCCCAAACAAGGTTACTGTGTACGGCATGGTCTTTAACCACTTCCCCAAAGCAGTGACAATGTTCCTGAGTCTGGTCTGTGTCTTACCAGGACCAGGTTGGTCAAGGTCTGGCACTCTTCATCCTTGGCTAGCCCGTCGGCCATCACTCGCTCCCCTCCCTTCATGTCAGCACCGTCCTTGGTTATAGATATCCCTGCAAGTGTGACAGCATTGTTCAAATAAGCTCATCAAATAAGTGAGAGTTCTTAGTGAATGAAGAACTACAGTTGAAGTTAGCTTACAAAGCTATATAAAGTACATGCCAAAAAATGGAAAGATGAGCAGAGCCAGCCATGGAATGTAAGTTTGAGTGGATAGCCTGTTCTGTCCCTAACAACCATCACGCACAGTTTGGCCGCCCTGCGTGGACAGTTTGTACTTGTACCTCTGACAAGGCATCAGATAACGTATGCACTGTATTTGTAACACATCAAGCAATGCCATATACAACGCTGGGATGTCAACCGAGGTGGCAATGGGGCAAAGCAGTCAGTACTGTAAACATTTCACATGACTCTAAAAAGCTAAACACATGTCCATGCCTCACTAGCAATGTACTCCAGACAATCTGTTCACAGAAAAATGTATTGCTGTGTCCAGCAAATGTACCACCAATACAATCAAGGAAGGACTTCCTTTAAACTTACGTGAGTATTTGAGACACTACCATGGGATCTATCAAAGGGATTTCCCTGATTTTTGTCAATCTCAGAATACACCTAAGTTCAGTTTTGTGAAAATATTAGATTTTTCCCTTTAATACCACACTACATGACAAACTTGTAAATGGTACTTTCCTTCCTCCCTGGGGTATTTGCTACTAAACATGATAACCATAGTTACACATTTCAAATGTTCAGAACAATATCAGAAGTGAACGCAAATATATCTCAAGTTTATTAAAAAACAATAATTATATTCTTCTTCTTTAACAAAGTCTATGTTAAACCTGGTGGTAGTACATTTAGGCAATACGTAGACATCCCAAAGGCCACCAACTTGCCAACCCCACCTTGCTTATCTGTTTCTTAAAGCATAGAACTCTGAGTTTCTGCTCAGATTGGTCAAATCAATACAGGGCAATAGCTTCAGGTATATTGATGATCTGATATCATTCAGTTGAGATCATTAGCCAATTCTCTCCCTGTTTTACCTATCTGAAGTAGAAATAATGGAGACATATGAGCCTGTATCATAGTCCGATCTATGCATAATGATTCAGAGCAAGACAAATCTGTCCCCAAGGCTGTATGACACATGGGATACATTCTAATGATCAATAATTCCACTGTGTCCAACAACATTCCAGAGACTTAAGTCAGTTGTGTCTACATCTCAAGACATTTGAGGTTCCAACAAGCACAATGTTTCAAAATGATTTTCAAAGAATATCCTACAACTCTTGCTTAGAAGTCATCTGATGAAGGCTGGAACATTCAAAACCTCAGTAAAACTTTCGTACAGTATTATGGGAGACATGTCCATGACATTTCAAAACTTGAGGCATCTGTGACAAAAATGATTTCCAATTCAATATTGCTCAAAACTTGAACAATATGTTCCCAATTTTTCCAAGGGACTTGACAAAATACATTTTCAAAAAACCCAAACCATGACAGGCACCAGTTAACCATAAGACATTTTGGAAATCTGCTCCAGAAATAAGCACTACTGCTATTTTCATGTTGTCAATACATAATGTTCAAATTGAGGTAAAAATTTTGAAAATTATAAAAAATGATAATAATTCTCAGAATACTACCTTTAACACTTGATTGCCTTTTTCCTGAAACTTGTTTCTCAATCCAAAGGTTCAGCATGAATAAAATTGTCAAAGTCCATGGTTTTGTGCTGTGTTTTTTCCTAGTGGTCCTCCAAGTTATATCCGCAGGAGGCAGGGAAAACATCCTAATTTTCCTAGAGTACCAGTACCTTACCTTAAGGAAGGTACTCCGGGATTTCTGGGGGAAGGATGGGTGGGCCCCTACTTCAAGTGTTAGAGGTAGTATTCTAAGAATTATTATCATTGCTGAGATTGTTCCCCAATACTTATGAATATGTCCCTCTAACTACTGATAAATTCTGTAGTTATGCATTGTCTAGGGATATCCTCTAGTTTATAAGATGATAACATACTGGTAAGAAATGGTTCCTTCCCAGTATGAAACCCTAGCCTAGTGTGGACAGATACCAAAGCAGTGTGGTATCCTTCTGTGATGCCATGCAAAAGAGGGACAAGTATCCTAAGATATAGAAGAAGGTCAGTCTAAGTAAACTTAGGCTCAGTATTAATCGTTACACTGCTATACTGAGTCTAACAAAACTTTGTAGAAGGTCGCGTCAGCTAACCTTTTGGACTGACCAATCAGAACACAGCTTATCAAATCCAAAAGTTAACATTCGCACATACCGTTTGAACCTTTACCTAAAAAACTCGAACGATTCCGAATGCTATTTTCCGCACGATCGCTTCCGAGTGATACACGCAATGAGTAAACAGTCGCTGAAAATAGCGTTTTTGTCAATATTCAAGGATGTCATCTTGCGAACATATAAGCAAATAGTAACCATGTCAGTAGAAACCCTAAAGCGTATATACTGCAGGTCAAATATATGTGTTTTATGCGGATTTTCGTTTGTTGATAGATCAGTGTCAGCGACCAGGGAAGAGAAAATTCAAAAAACGTTTCATAAGTCTAACAAGTAGTCGCAATCTGACTGGATAAATTCGTTCGTCCGTCTCGCGTTTGATTGGACGGTCATAGGTCTCGCAAAGATGAGCTGACGCGACCTTCTACAAGGTTTTGTTAGACTCAGTATAGCAGTGTAACGAATAATACTGAGCCTAAGTTTACTTAGGCTGAGAAGAAAGTTTGCAATAATCGGCACTGTAATGGGGACATTGGCTGTTCCAGATCTGACTCCACTGCTGGAATCAGTTACCTTTAAAGTCATAGAAAGGCAGATGTTGAAGTTCTGATTGACTGAGTAACTGCTGAGGAAGCTCCTTGTGAAAATCCTGCTGATAGGAGCTGTTGCTGGATAGTTTCCATACATGTAAGTGGAGCTGTTTCAGGTTTGTCTGACTCTGGTTGTCTGAGAAGCATTGGCCAAAGAGGCAGATTGAAAAGGAATATGCAATCACGCCTTCCCAAGAAATTGTCATGATGTCCACTGCAGAAACTGAAGGATCTGGAGCTGGGGTGATATGAGCTTGCAATATGAGCTTGCTCCCATTTGATCGGTATCTGTCTGAAGGTATCCGCATGATAGGATCCGTAGATAGGATCTTGTCCGGACGTTGTAGAACGGATCAAGGATGTTGATATTCCCTGGATGTATCGGGCTCCATGAGCACTTGATAATGGGTTACCCTCCAGTCTGATGATGCTACTATCGTGGAATTGTCCGCGGTGACAAGTATGGAGGAGTTGTTCAAAGCTCTGATTTTTCCTGATGAACAAGGAACCTAAAATTCCCTTAGAAAGAGTCTTCTAAACAGGCATCCCCTGTACCTTCTTATACATTTTAGAAGTAAATATGCTAGAGCTGGAGCTGTGATGATCTTGAATAGCCACGAAGCTACTGATAGTCTAAACGGTAGAACCCTGAACAGTAAGACTCTTCTGATGGACAAAGCATGGGTATCCCTGATAGTTTGGATGAATCAGAACATGTTTATATGCATGCTGCAGGTCTCTGGAGATCATATAGAGATCCAAATTAGAGATTGTCTAAATGAGGTTCCGCTTGGACTTCATCCTGAGTGGTCCATGTATTAGTGGTCTGTGCCTTATAGCAAAGACAAAACATACCAGTGAGGCCCCTCTACCAGGGTATTTTATAATTTTTCTCAAGTAAAATTAGCTGAGAGAAACTTTTTTTATTTTGTTGATTCCTTGGGGAAAATAAGGTTTTCAGTTACCTGTTGTGTTCCATTGGTTCACATGTCCACAAGTCATCGTCATTATTTTGAAAAAGGATCAACTTAACCTTCATCCATTCAACGAGTTTCACAGTTTCATAAAGAACTTGAGGCGGTGTGGCACACAACAACTGACTCGAAAATCTCCGAACCACGAGTAACTATATAGGGTATGAAATCATGACATATTTGGTCATACATGGTTCACGCCATCTGGTGAGGTCGCTATTTATAAACCTGGGGAACTCCAAGTTGCGGTAACATCACCATGTCAAAACGGACGATGTTACACTTCAGTATCATGAGAATTAAGAAAGTAATTAAAAAATGTAGCTACCCAGAACACAAAATGCTTTGCGCACAGAACATGTAGGTAGAAATTATTGTGCATGAAATGCAGATTTATTTGCATGAAACACACAGGTTTTTCGTTAACGCGAACTCTGTACAGGTCAAGATTCTGTGAGTAAATTCTAGACACACTTTTAGCGTCATGTGCTGCATTGTTCCAGGATATGTTGAAAATGCAAGAACACTAGAAAAACAGGGAAGAATTTGAAAGGTAGAGTGTGTAACCCGGGTGACTGGATACCAAAGACATATAACAGGCATTCTGAGTACTACATACTGTAAATGAAAATTCGAATTGATGCATATTTTCTATGTCTGAGTAATAGGAACGATGCCATTGTCAAAAGAAGCTTCAATGGCAGCCATGTTTAGAACTCGATCAGAATTCTGTCTTTACAGTTTCACAGAGTGCAAATTTGGTTTCATAGACTGTTCAGTTTAAGAGGATGTATAAAAAATGCCAAAGTTTAGAGTGAAACAGATTACTGGTAAAATCACCAGTTGATGGAAAAAGAACAATTACATAAGCACACTTTATTTCAGTCATGTGAGGGAGAAATAAAGTTAAATTCAAAAGGAAGAATAATCTATTTGTTTCGACCTACCACTTTTTTTCAAATCTTCTAAGGTGTGCTGTTGAGTGTTACTGTCACTCCTCAGGTATTTAACATCCATATTGTGCAGGGTCTTGATGGTCTCAATATAGGCTTGGTCATCCTTGGTGGGATCTGTGGTGTACCGGATGACCAACGCACATCGCTGCTCACTGTACGGGATGCTAACACCATGATGGTCACTGCTCTCAAATGCAACCAGCCTCCCACACTTCATACCAACTTTGCTCTGAATATGAAGGGCCAAACATATTACTTATTATTAGGTAATATTAAAAATTCACTTTTACAGTTAATAGTTTGGTGTGTCTTGGAAATGCAGTTTTATTTACTATATGTCCACAAATCTTACACTCATGTGCACAGGTGACAGCCTAGGTGGATCAAGCTAGACTTCCCTGATAGTGTGTATTGTAATGGACCAGCCGTTGATTCCAAATTGCCAGACCAAACTTGTGGAATGAACTCCCACAGCATCTGAGATCAAACCACAATCTGGACTCATTCAAAACACAGCTGAAGACTCATTACTTCTGTGAAACATGGACAAGGTGGAGCATGGTAGCCCAGCTTTGTGTAGATGTAGACTGGTGCAGGCTAATGGACAAGGTGGAGCATGGTAGCCAAGCTTTGTGTAGATGTAGACTGGTGCAGGCTAATGGACAAGGTGGAGCATGGTAGCCCAGCTTTGTGTAGATGTAGACTGGTGCAGGCTAATGGACAAGGTGGAGCATGGTAGCCAAGCTTTGTGTAGATGTAGACTGGTGCAGGCTAATGGACAAGGTGGAGCATGGTAGCCCAGCTTTGTGTAGATGTAGACTGGTGCAGGCTAATGGACAAGGTGGAGCATGGTAGCCCAGCTTTGTGTAGATGTAGACTGGTGCAGGCTAATGGACAAGGTGGAGCATGGTAGCCCAGCTTTGTGTAGATGTAGACTGGTGCAGGCTAATGGACAAGGTGGAGCATGGTAGCCAAGCTTTGTGTAGATGTAGACTGGTCAGACATGGGTTCAATTACTTTGAAATGTAATTAATTAAATTACAATTACTTTGATTTTCCTCAATTACAATTACAAATACAATTACACCTTAAATTAAAATGTAATTAATTAAATTACAATTACATTACCAATGTAATTAATTACAATTACAAATTACTTTGTTAAAAAACCAAAACAAATATATGTCTGTATTGCTTTAATCAACAAGATATCGATGTTGGTAAACAGTGGTCACTAAATCCAATTAATATTTTGTCATCAAAAGGTGAAATGCAAATTTAGATTATATCTACAATGTACACTATTTGATCAAATTTGTATTTTGCATATTTCTTTGGGCTTATTATCAAATACACACCTCTATCATCTCTTGTTGCAAAAAACACTTTGTCCACTACTGTTACTTTAGGTGTACTGTATCAAGACATCACAATCAGCCGGTCTCTCTATCTGACATAATCCACATTAACATACTATTACTAAAGGATTTGTCAACTTGGATTTATGGCTTATTACCTTTCATGATTATAAAAATAGGACTACAGTTCAGTAAGATTTTGAATATCATATCCTATGAGAAATAAACAAAGAGGCCATTTTGATAGGAACTTGACTAATAGTACTGTTAATCCCCCATTTCCTCAAATACCAACCTACATTCAGTCATGCGTTACTGATTCCCTTTGTTTCACAAATGTGCAGATGGTGATAGTTACAAAGGCTTAGACATTCAAATCTCTTTCAAAACTTAACACCTGCTAGAGTATATACCGACAACAAGCATCTTATTGAAAAACACTGCTTTGTCCTCCTTATTGTACAGAATATAATTGCAAGGGTTGCCTGATGACCACCAAAATATAAAAGTGAGATGTAATTTGATGTAATTGAAAAAGTAATTGAAAAATTCAATTACATTGAGATATTAATTAATTAAATTACAATTACAAATTACATTTTAAACATTCAATTACAAATTACATGCAATTACATAGATTTTTGTAATTAATTACATTCAATTACAATTACAAATTACAATTACCCCATGTCTGAGACTGGTACAGGCTAATGGACAAGGTGGAGCATGGTAGCCAAGCTTTGTGTAGATGTAGACTGGTGCAGGATAATGGACAAGGTGGAGCATGGTAGCCAAGCTTTGTGTAGATGTAGACTGGTGCAGGATAATGGACAAGGTGGAGCATGGTAGCCATGGACAAGATGGAGACATGGCAGCCAAGCTTTGTGTGGAGCATGTAGACTGGTGCAGATGTAACTGGACAAGGTGGGTGGAGCATGGTAGCCAAGCTTTGTGTAGATGTAGACTGGTGCAGGATAATGGACAAGGTGGAGCATGGTAGCCAAGCTTTGTGTAGATGTAGACTGGTGCAGGCTAATGGACAAGGTGGAGCATGGTAGCCAAGCTTTGTGTAGATGTAGACTGGTGCAGGCTAATGGACAAGGTGGAGCATGGTAGCCAAGCTTTGTGTAGATGTAGACTGGTGCAGGCTAATGGACAAGGTGGAGCATGGTAGCCAAGCTTTGTGTAGACTGTAGACTGGTGCAGCTTTTGTAGATGTAGACTGGTGCAGGCTAATGGACAAGGTGGAGCATGGTAGCCCAGCTTTGTGTAGATGTAGACTGGTGCAGGCTAATGGACAAGGTGGAGCATGGTAGCCAAGCTTTGTGTAGATGTAGACTGGTACAGGCTAATGGACAAGGTGGAGCATGGTAGCCAAGCTTTGTGTAGATGTAGACTGGTGCAGGCTAATGGACAAGGTGGAGCATGGTAGCCAAGCTTTGTGTAGATGTAGACTGGTACAGGCTAATGGACAAGGTGGAGCATGGTAGCCAAGCTTTGTGTAGATGTAGACTGGTGCAGGCTAATGGACAAGGTGGAGCATGGTAGCCAAGCTTTGTGTAGATGTAGACTGGTGCAGGCTAATGGACAAGGTGGAGCATGGTAGCCCAGCTTTGTGTAGATGTAGACTGGTACAGGCTAATGGACAAGGTGGAGCATGGTAGCCCAGCTTTGTGTAGATGTAGACTGGTACAGGCTAATGGACAAGGTGGATGCATGGTAGCCTGGTACAGCTTTGGACAAGGTGGAGCATGTGTAGATGTAGACTGGTACAGGCTAATGGACAAGGTGGAGCATGGTAGCCCAGCTTTGTGTAGATGTAGACTGGTGCAGGCTAATGGACAAGGTGGAGCATGGTAGCCAAGCTTTGTGTAGATGTAGACTGGTGCAGGCTAATGGACAAGGTGGAGCATGGTAGCCAAGCTTTGTGTAGATGTAGACTGGTGCAGGCTAATGGACAAGGTGGAGCATGGTAGCCCAGCTTTGTGTAGATGTAGACTGGTGCAGGACTAATGGACAAGATGTGGAGGCATGGACAGGTGGAGCATGGTAGCCCAGCTTTGTGTAGATGTAGACTGGTGCAGGCTAATGGACAAGGTGGAGCATGGTAGCCCAGCTTTGTGTACATGTAGACTGGTACAGGCCAATGGACAAGGTGGAGCATGGTAGCCCAGCTTTGTGTAGTTGTAAACTGGTGCAGGCTAATGAACTAGGTGGTGCAATGTTACCTACCTCGGTTTTCTTGTCAGGTGACATGAAGTATATGTTTGATCCTTCATCAGCAGGGATATCAGAGAGGTATGTCACTCCACTGCAGAGATAAAAACCTGTCTTAATAGTAATGCTTTCAAAGTCCATGGGTATCAGGAAAAGGATAATGATAACATATCATATGAACTACATGAGATAATCTAACACTGATCAACAGTAACGATAATGATGCCACATGACCAAAAATAATTCAAATCATCTCCACACAGCCAGAAATACATGAATGAACTAATGAGTTTTGCTGTGGCATTAAGTGAATAGTGATCAGTGAGAACTGATTTTACTCATCACTTTGTCAGTAACAAGTTGCTTTGCACAGAAATTCAAAGCCTTTGGTTTTCAGAGTTCCAGCAACTATATAACAGATTTAAAGCAAGATCCCATCCTCCAGAGTATTTACGGTAAATGATTACTAAGGCACTGGACAGAACATTTTGTCACATCAGTGTCAAAGTGTATGACATCCTTTAACAGAAAAACATTGTGCCACATTCAAGAAAAGATATGGTACTTCTCATTTGTATTTGAAAAATGACATTGGCCTGTAAAATATAGAACTGATATCGGATGAAGCAAGATTGAGTAGAATGTTGAGAAGAGAATGCTACTGACATGTATTCCTCATCACCGATGTTGGACGGCAGTTCTTCTATACATGATCCATCCTCCTGGGGTATACAGCCTTCAAAGGAAGATGCTGCAACAGGAGCAGTCACTGACACACTTCAACAGGAACAGTCATTGACACACTTCAACAGAAACAGTCACTGACACACTTCAACAGGAACAGTCACTGACACACTTAAACGGGAACAGTCACTGTCACACTTCAACAGGAACAGGCACTGACACACTTCAACAGGGACAGGCACTGTCACACTTCAACAGGAACACAGGAACAGTCACTGACACAGTTCAACAGGGACAGTCACTGACACACTTCAACAGGAACAGTCACTGACACACTTCAACAGGAACAGTCACTCACACACTTCAACAGGAACAGTCACTGGCCCACTTCAAAAGGAACAGGCACTGACACACTTCAACAGAAACAGGCACTGACACACTTCAACAGAAGAGGCACGTACACACAACTAGTGCTGTAGCAAGTTCCTGTAGCTGGTTCCAAATTGGTATGGTGAAACCAGGCCCCCGATTTCTCGAAAGAATCTTAAGTCTGAGTTTTTACTTAAGTTAGAGTTTTACTCAAATTTGAGAAAATGCATTTCCCAGAATGAACTAAAATCTATAATAAACTCAAACATAGTGGACAATTTGAGTTTGGTGGATAGATTACTTACGTTGTTTGGGCTTTTTCAGTTTAAAAAAGCAGTTGAGTTTAAAATTCACCTGTTTCAAATTGTCAAACTCAGTTTGAAATTTGAGTAAAAACTTAAGTGTGTTTCAGAAATCGGGGCCAGAACGATTATAAGTTGGCCTTAGCAAATCATGATGTGACCAAGTCAAACAACTGGTAATTGAAAAATATAAGGAGGAATTATAAAATCCACACCATGTTATATGAATGAGTGGTGTAAACAAAGACGACAGAAAATCAGTTATCGAATTGTTGAAACCATGTTGTTATTTTGACAGTCTCTAAACTTGATGGCACAAGTAAGAAACTAATGCACATGCAAGCCCCATACAACATATTTTCTGCAGAATACTTAAAAACAATATGTGGGTGAATTCAATTGTGAATGGAACAAATCTTTTCCAATTTTCATCGTGCATTATTTCTGATGCACTCAATTATCACATGAACAACTGTAAAACATGTCAATGACTTATTAAAGACAACTTATATGGTTCTGGGATCGGTCCTGTCTACTTATGATAATACCTACCATCAAGTCCTGTCTCAGGACCCCAACAGACTACAGATGTATGTTTGAAGAACAGCCTTGTCAAACTGTAATACTTCATTAAATAGTGGCGAGTTGTCTCAGCAATACGAAGCAGGAGACGTAATGAGACCTCACTATTCAAATCTTCTTTTTCCAGCATCTACAGAAAGAATTCAACAAAATCAGAGGTACAAAGGAGCAAAGAATCAGGAAATAATAGGGTCATGAATCTTCACATAGCAGTTACATAAAAGGAATCTGGAAATAACTGCAGATAAAGTGGGCCAAGAATCTTTAGATGATGGTTACATAGTGAGAGAATTTGAAATATAAAGCAAAGAGTGAAGAGAATTTTGAGATGCCAGCACCCTGGGGCAAGAATCTTGAGGTGTCAGGAACAGACATAAAACATAAGGAACAGAGGCACATACAAGTCACACATGGACATAATGCTTGACAACAGACACATGAACATTATGCTTGATAGCAGACACATGAACATTATGCTTGATAGCAGACACATGAACATTATGCTTGATAGCAGACACACGTGGATATGATGCTTCAGAGCAGACACACATGGACATGATGCTTGACAGCAGACACACATGGACATGATGCTTGACAGCAGACACACATGAATATGATGCTTGACAGCAGACAAAAGGACATGATGCTTGACAGCAGACACACATAAACATGTAGCTTGACGGCAGACAAACATGGATATGATGCTTGACAGCAGACACACATGGATATGATGGACATGTAGCTTGACAGCAGACACACATGGATATGATGCTTGATGGCAGACACAAGGATATGATGCTCGACAGCAGACACACATGGATATGATGGACATGTAGCTTGACAGCAGACACATGGATATGATGCTTGACAGCAGACACTCATGGATATGATGCTTGACAGCAGACACACATGGACATGATGCTTGACAGCAGACAAATGGACATGATGCTTGACAGCAGACACACATAAACATTTAGCTTGACGGCAGACACACATGGATATGATGCTTGACAGCAGACAAACATGGATATGATGCTTGACAGCAGACAAATGGACATGATGCTTGACAGCAGACACAAATGACATGTAGCTTGACGGCAGATACACATGGATATGATGCTTGACAGCAGACACACATGGATATGATGGACATGTAGCTTGACAGCAGACACACATGGACATGTAGCTTGACAGCAGACACACATGGATATGATGCTTGACAGCAGACACACATGGACATGTAACTTTACAGCAGGCACACATGGACATGTAGCTTGACAGCAGACACACATGGACATGATGCTTGACAGCAGACACACATGGACATGTAACTTGACAGCAGACACACATGGACATGTAGCTTGACAGCAGACACATGGACATGTAACTTGAAAACAGACACACATGGACATGTAACTTGACAACAGACACACATGGACATGTAATTTGACAACAGACACATGGACATGTAACTTGACAACAGACACACATGGACATGATGATTGACAGCAGACACACATGGACATGATGGACATGTAGCTTGACAGCAGACACACATGGACATGATGCTTGACAGCAGACACATGGATATGATGCTTGACAGCAGACACACATGGACATGTAACTTGACAGCAGACACACATGGACATGTAGCGTGACAGCAGACACACATGGACATGATGCTTGACAGCAGACAACCATGGACATGTAGCTTGACAGCAGACACACATGAACATGTAGCTTGACAGCAGACACACATGGACATGTAACTTGACAGCAGACACACATGGACATGTAACTTGACAGCAGACACATGGACATGTAACATGACAACAGACACCCATGGACATGTAACTTGACAACAGACACACATGAACATGTAGCTTGACAGCAGACACACTGGATATGAAGCTTGACAGCAGACACACTGGATATGAAGCTTGACAGCAGACACACATGAATATGATGCTTGACAGCATACAAATGGACATGATGCTTTACAGCAGACACATGGATATGATGCTTGACAGCAGACACACATGGATATGATGGACATGTAGCTTGACAGCAGACACATGGATATGATGCTTGACAGCAGACACACATGGACATGTAACTTGACAGCACACACACATGGATATGATGCTTGACAGCAGACACACATGGATATGATGCTTGACAGCAGACACACATGGATATGATGGACATGTAGCTTGACAGCAGACACATGGATATGATGCTTGACAGCAGACACACATGGACATGTAACTTGACGGCAGACACACATGGATATGATGATTGACAGCAGACACACATGGATATGATGGACATGTAGCTTGACAGCAGACACATGGATATGATGCTTGACAGCAGACACACATGGACATGTAACTTGACAGCAGACACACATGGACATGTAGCGTGACAGCAGACACACATGGACATGTAACTTGACAGCAGACACGCATGGACATGTAGCTTGACAGCAGACACGCATGGACATGTAGCTTGACGGCAGACACACATGGATATGATGCTTGACAGCAGACACACATGGATATGATGGACATGTAGCTTGACAGCAGACACACATGGACATGTAGCTTGACAGCAGACACATGGATATGATGCTTGACAGCAGACACACATGGACATGTAACTTGACAGCAGACACACATGGACATGTAACTTGACAGCAGACACATGCAGACACACATGGACATGATGCTTGACAGCAGACACACATGGACATGTAACTTGACAGCATACACACATGGACATGTAAGCGACAGCAGACACATGGACATGTAACTTGAAAACAGACACACATGGACATGTAACTTGACAACAGACACACATGGACATGTAATTTGACAACAGACACATGGACATGTAACTTGACAACAGACACACATGGACATGATGATTGACAGCAGACACACATGGACATGATGGACATGTAGCTTGACAGCAGACACACATGGACATGTAGCTTGACAGCAGACACACATGGACATGATGCTTGACAGCAGACAACCATGGACATGTAGCTTGACAGCAGACACACATGAACATGTAGCTTGACAGCAGACACACATGGACATGTAACTTGACAGCAGACACACATGGACATGTAACTTGACAGCAGACACATGGACATGTAACATGACAACAGACACCCATGGACATGTAACTTGACAACAGACACACATGAACATGTAGCTTGACAGCAGACACACTGGATATGAAGCTTGACAGCAGACACACTGGATATGAAGCTTGACAGCAGACACACATGGATATGATGGACATGTAGCTTGACAGCAGACACATGGATATGATGCTTGACAGCAGACACACATGGACATGTAACTTGACAGCAGACACACATGGATATGATGCTTGACAGCAGACACACATGGATATGATGGACATGTAGCTTGACAGCAGACACATGGATATGATGCTTGACAGCAGACACACATGGACATGTAACTTGACGGCAGACACATGGATATGATGCTTGACAGCAGACACACATGGATATGATGGACATGTAGCTTGACAGCAGACACATGGATATGATGCTTGACAGCAGACACACATGGACATGTACCTTGACAGCAGACACACATGGACATGTAGCATGACAGCAGACACACATGGACATGTAACTTGACAGCAGACACGCATGGACATGTAACTTGACAACAGACACACATGAACATGTAGCTTGACAGCAGACACACTGGATATGAAGCTTGACAGCAGACACACATGGACATGTAGCTTGACAGCAGACACACATGGACATGTAGCTTGACAGCAGACACACATGGATATGTAACTTGACAGCAGACACACATGGACATGATGCTTGACAGCAGACACACATGGATATGATGGACATGTAGCTTTACAGCAGACACACATGGACATGTAACTTGACAGCAGACACACATGGACATGTAACTTGACAGCAGACACACATGGATATGTAACTTGACAGCAGACACACATGGACATGTAGCTTGACAGCAGACACACATGGACATGATGCTTGACAGCAGACACACATGGACATGTAGCTTGACAGCAGACACATGGACATGTAACTTGACAACAGACACACATTGACATGTAACTTGACAACAGACACACATGGACATGTAGCTTGACAGCAGACACACATGGACATGTAGCTTGACAGCAGACACACATGGGCATGTAACTTGACAACAGACACACATGGACATGTAGCTTGACAGAAGACACACATGGATATGATGCTTGGCAGCAGACACACATGGACATGTAGGTTGACAGCAGACACATGGATATGATGTTTGACAGCAGACACACATGGACATGTAGCTTGACAGCAGACACACATGGACATGTAGCTTGACAGAAGACACACATGGATATGATGCTTGACAGCAGACACACATGGACATGTAACTTGACAGCAGACACACATGGATATGATGCTTGACAGCAGACACACATGGACATGTAGCTTGACAGCAGACACACATGGATATGATGCTTGACAGCAGACACACATGGACATGTAGCTTGACAGCAGACACACATGGATATGATGCTTGACAGCAGACACACGTGGACATGTAACTTGACAACAGACACACATGGACATGTAGCTTGACAGAAGACACACATGGATATGATGCTTGACAGCAGACACACATGGACATGTAGCTTGACAGCAGACACACATGGACATGTAGCTTGACAGCAGACACACATGGACATGTAACTTGACAGCAGACACACATGGATATGATGCTTGACAGCAGACACACATGGACATGTAGCTTGACAGCAGACACACATGGACATGTAGCTTGACAGCAGACACACATGGACATGTAGCTTGACAGCAGACACACATGGACATGTAACTTGACAGCAGACACACATGGATATGATGCTTGACAGCAGACACACATGGACATGTAGCTTGACAGCAGACACACATGGACATGTAACTTGACAACAGACACACATGGACATGTAACTTGACAACAGACACACATGGACATGTAGCTTGACAACAGACACACATGGACATGTAGCTTGACAGCAGACACACATGCATATGCAGCTCGGCATTGGAGACACATATAAATTTTACAAACATGAGGCAGAAAGGATATAACGGAATGTGTTCGGAATGTAACTGTGCACATGGTGTACTATGTTGTATCTTCCATGCTTACCTGTACGGCATCAGTCATTGTCACCACTTTGGCTCCATACTGATTTGCTTTCTTATCCTGAAAACCACAAACATTCATCATCATAATCATGAAATGTTCTTTTGATCTCACTTTCTCTATCATCCATGGGGATCATGTTACAATACTGACAGCCAGAAAAGGAATACCCATCAGCTCATGTTGACAACTGCTGACATTCGCTGAACGTGTCTGGGCATTCGGTGTGAGTGTGAGCATACCAACAGGACTTGCCAATAACTGTACCATATACCCCACTTAAAACATTTACTGACTTCTTTCCAACATAATGAGGAAGTACAATTTATTTCCATTCTAACAACATCCCCTCCAGTCTAAACAAAGATTTTAGGTAAGGAAGAAAATGGCAATACAGAGAAACAGAAGAGACTTGCCACCTGCTATCTTCAAACCAAAAGCAAAAGTTCTTTCAGTTTAATAACATAACATCCACTATGGGAAAACAAAGCAGCATGATTTGAACTTTATAAAATGTTCCATTTTCTAGGACAGTAACAGACTGTAGTCCAAAATGTCCATAAAGAGTTTAACAAAGTTTGCAATGATGTAGAAGAATGTCCTGTCAGAACTTGATACAACCATGAAAGTGCCATCTTGCCATCTAAAATCACTGCTATGTATTTGGCGGCCGAAATCTTTAAACACCTTAATTTCTAGCAAACTGTACAACACTGTGTTTCAGAAAAGGAACTGAAAACAGGGTGGGTGATTTCCAACATTTCATTAAACAAGGGACTAATGAATCAAGACTTCACCCATTAGTATATCCCCCAATTTCTTTGTTTTTTATTTGAAAACATCACCACTAGGCAACAAAACCACTTGACTAGGAAAGGAACAGGCTACTTGCATGAAATAGACAAAGAAATATACAACTCACTACTCACATGGACTAGACTGATAATTTCAAAGCACTGCTCTTTCCTCAAGAAGCCATCAGCTGCAAACCTCTTTTCCCCTTTCAGTTGGTCTCCATGGGAAACAAGCTTCAGCCCAATTCTCTCATACTGTTTCATCCAGTAGCCGCTTTGCTTCTCTTCATTTGTTGCCTTTACTTCACTTTCCTCATCCAGAGGCTTCTACGATGTACAATACAGATGGAAAACTAGAAACATGTTGCAGTGCATGCAGTCAGATGAGCTAATTACAAGAAGGCTGAAGCCTGTAACTAATCTAAAAAGAAGAGAACTCCACAGTTTTATGATTTTGACCTTTGTAAGCCATAGCCATGAAAATCCTGAAATGTATGCACATCTGGTGAATATCACAGACATTATGTTACTGTGGAAAGCTTGCAAGTGTTTCATTTTAGGAACTACCTTAACATTTGACATCAAACAGACACAGCAACTACAGAATAAAGTGGTTATGTTTTATTAATCCCTCAAAAATGTTTTGTATTATTTCTGTTGTGGAGAATATTAAACAATCACTAATTCAGGGTCATGGTACATGAACACAAAATAACAACTCACCATGCTTAGTAAAAAACATTTTGAAATGGATCAGGGCTTTTCCTGCACATTAAGAAACATGCCTACTTAATCTCATGAGGCTAGCAAACTTATAAACCACACAATCCCCTACTCTGAGGTGGAAATTGGTTTAGTTATTATAGACAAAATAAATTGTTTAAAGATAACCAGCAAACAAACAAAACATGGTGCCCCTAGGTGGAACTGAAGGTAACAATGAAAACATAGCTTTACTATCCATTGTAAACAGAACACAGTGATCTACCTCGGACATCACACCATTGTCAACATGTGGCATACATTTCATATAATTCATAAATGTAATTCAAATCATATAAGCTCTATAAGCATAAGACATATTCAATGTCAGCAGAAAAAATAATTCCAGTCCAAATGGCAATACTTTAAGAATGGCCTTCACCCTAACAACAATGTTCTGCTGCGGTTACTCCTCACCTGAAGATGACACGTCTGAGTTACATGTAACTTCAGTTAAGGCTTCAAGAGTATTCATATGGCTTCATGCTATGACCCTGAAGATTATCTTGACCCCTTATCATGACTCGTAAAAGTGTACACGAAAAAACTAATCCCAGGACGATATGAGAGATATGCATGACATGATAGCTCTGATGTGCAGTATGGTTAAACAAACTTTAATTTGATTTGTTGAGTAAATCGATTGTCCTTCTCAGTTTCCACTTGTATCAGACCGATGAATGTGTTAAGCAAAGCATAGAGAGTGTACAGCAGATTTACACTTACCACCAAGTCGCTTGTATCTTTCAAATAATTTGTTTGTGAAAAGTCAAGTATCCTCTCCATCTGATGTTTCCTATCCAGATAAATAACGGCTTGCTGAAATGATGAACATTCACATTACCGGGTTGTCTGGTACCACCGACACAAGTACACCAAAGTGACAGGTTGCATAACATGGTGGCACCATACCTCACATGGATATGTAGTTAACAATTTAAAATGTACACAGTTACAAGATTCGCTGAATGGCACACGCAGACCAGATTCATCTCACAAATAAGTTTACAGAGCCAAATACATGTGTACATTTTGAGGGAAATTGAAGCGTGGTGAAACAAGATCAAAATTCAAAATATATACTGAGGGAAAAAAATAAGGGATCACATGCAAGCACAAGTGTTCCCATATATTTTTCCAGGTTTCTTCACAAGCATGCAATTTTCTGAATAAATTTGATATTTTATACTAATCCTGACTCATGCTCTTTTGCTTGTCTCCTTCCTCTTGTGAACATTAGTGGAACACTTGTATCTCCTATTGAAGCTCCCTTCAATAAAGAACAGACGTAAAATCCCTACTCACCACGAGTTATCTGTGTGGCCGTTTTGGCAGGAAAGCAGCGCCATCGTACTCCCATGCTTCACTCTCTCCGAATTATGAGCCCGACACTTTAATTTACAGAGAAATCCAAAGGGTCTAGCGGGGAGGTTGGGAGGGCTTACCTCATGAGTCAGGATAAGTATAAAATATCAATTGTATTCAGAAAATTACATATTTTTCCTTATCCTGACTCATGCTCTTTTGCTTGTAGAATCCGACGGAGTTGGTGGTGGGTCAAGCTACTTCTGGATTTCATGTAGTGATTTACGTCTTGCATACCCCCCAATGGGAACTTGTGTTACTGCTAGGCTCTGCTGCTGCTGTAACTCTTCACTTCCAGCTTTTCTGATGGGGGGACCACAATTGTTAACTTTTGGTCCTTGCTGCTGTTAACATTTCATGTGGATTTTGCAACTCCATCTCTTGATGCGAGCATCAAGTGGAGAAGCAACCCTTTCCTGTACGAGTATGTCTTTACAAGTACTGGGTCATATCACTTATGCTAGTCTGTCCTAGACTTGCATATAGACTCTAAAGCTGAACTCTCCTGAGTGTAGGCTTTTGCAAGTGATAAAAGGGCGAGACTCCGTCTCAGCGTCTTTGTGGGACTGTCAATTGTTATGCTACAACAAGTGGGCCGAAATGGAGAATGCCAGAGCCGTCCTCGGTGGCGATGTCCCTCAGGTAATGGTTGGCAAACACCATCTCCCATTTCCAGAAGCATCCCTCCATTATCGTCCTGATAGAGCGATTCCCATGTAGAGCGAACGTTGACGCCAGAGCTCTAACTTCATGTGGGTTGGAGGTTCTTGGAGGATCAAATCCTGCTGCTTTGTAGGCCCGTAGTATGACAGTTCTGATCCAGCTTGATATCTTAGTGCGGAAAGCCTCCGTCTGTGTCGCTGTCGATATCGAGACGAAAAGACACTTGAATTTCCGTCTCCTGGACCTGGATCTTTGTAAGTAGACTTTCAATGCTCTCACCTGGCACAAGGATAGGTCCTGCGTATCCTGTGGTCCAAGGACTGATGATAGTGTTGGGACGTGGAACTGTCTGGCTGGATGACCTGGCAGTTGATTCTTTGCTATGAAGTCCCATCTCAGTCCCTTATGCACGATGTATTGATTTTCATCAAATCGTGTTCTCTCGAAATCCAGAGAATGTATTTCTGACATCCTTGCTGCTGTTGCTAAGGTTATCAGGAACAGCGTCTTCTGCGTCAAGAACTCGAATGATGTTCTCTATAATGGATCGTAGATGTCACTAGAGAGATGTCGTAGAACTACGTTGAGGTCCCACACCGGAGCTTTAAATCTCTGTTGTTGGTCCTCCAATTAAAAGGGCGTAGTAAGGCCAGTAACTCTGGTACTTTCGTCAGTTGCACTCGTCCTCATGGCGATAACTGACCTCAATGCCGCTAGGTATGTTGAGAGTGTTGACCCTTTTAACCGCTTCGTTTGTCTAGGTGACAAAGGTAGTCCGCCACTTGAGGATGTGTCGCTTTCATGGCTGTGAAGCCGGCCCTCGAAACGTATGTCTCGAAGCATCGCCACTTGTCATCGTACTAGTTGCGTGTAGACTTGCGTAAAGCTAGTGTGACTGCTTTCGCTGCCCTGGCAGAATATCCTCTCTTGTTCAAGCATGCCTTGATACAGTTCACACGTGTAGCCCGAACACCTCTGGGTTGCCGTGCGCCTGCTGTGAGGATGTACTAGTAGATTCGTCCACTCTGGTAGTTGCAGTTGAGAATAGGGAACCATATTCTTGCTGGCCAGTAAGGCGCGCCCCAAGTAATTGTAGGACTCTCGTGTGACTGATTTTCTGCAACACCCTCGGTATTAGAGCTAGTGGTGAAAATGCATAAGCATTTTAGTCCTTGCCAGGAGATGCTTAGCGTGTCCGTTGCCCATGCCCGTGGATCTGGTATTGGTGTGACGAATGTTATCAGTTGACCCATGTGGCGAAGAGGTCTATTGATGGTGCTCCCATCTCTTGTATGATCTGCTTAAAGATCTCTGGATGTAGCATCCAGTCTGTTGAGAATGGCTGCGTTGGACAGGACAGTGCATCTGCTATCACATTCTTGGCTCTTGGAATGTGGTATGCTCTGATGTGGACATTCAGGTTGACTGTTATGCTGGCCAGTTGAAAGCATAGGTCCAGAAGGTTCGCCGACCTTGTTGATCCTTCTGGTGATGTAGAACGCCACTGAGGAGGTGACTGTATGTACCGTCAGATGAGCATTCAATAAAATGCTGGTCCTGTGGAGTATGGCGTTTATCACTGCTTTCATTTCCAGCATGTGGAAGTGCAGATCTTCTCTGCTATGGTCCATATCCCAGCTGACACATCGTTGTCGATGTGTGCTCCCCAATCTTGGAGAGATGTGTCCACATAGAAATGCGTCTTGTACTCCGGCTCTGCTAAATAGGTGCGTCTGCGACCCACCGATCTCTGAGTCCACCATATTAGATATGGATTTAATCTGTCCGGGAGTCCGAGGGGGTCCGGATCGTCCAGTTGTACATTCCAGAGACCTGTAGTGGGCGTAGTTGTAGACTCCCTCTGCGTGTCATGCCTTTAGCTGACGTGAGAAGAACCAACAGACTCTGCCACTTCGTAGTAATAACGGAGAGAGTAGTGCTTGAGATACAAGGACTTGTATCTATATCCTACGATCTTGAAACCCTTGCCGTGTCCGTAAGGGAAATGAAGCGATGTCCGATTCTGTGACTGCCATCGTTGTGAAGTCTATATAAAGTCGTCTGGATGCCGCCACCTAAAGTCCGGCCAACGTATGTTGCTGCAAGTCGTCTGAAGAATCGTCTTCAATGATGACAGGGAAGGTCTCTAACCTCATGAAGGCAGCCAAATCACGTAGGTCCCGTCTAACTGGACTGTAATTGAGGCCTTCCTCGCTTGCTGACATGTTGTCACTCGTAACCCATTTCTTGACCTGTAAACTACGTCCGACCTCTGCGCAGGGCGTTGTCTCTCATGGTCCAATCAAAATAAAGCATTTTGAATCCTTTGGCTTGCCGCGCTTTGACGTCACCGGTGTAGCAGGAAAAAGGTCCTTGTAGAATCTAGTGCCGCCGTTGATATCTGATCAACTGTCGGTCCTGTCCGTAGCCTTCCGAAGTTACACGAGTGACCACGTGTATCGAGGGTTGAAATGGTAAACACGCGAAATATTTCCACGCATAATACCGATGTGGGTAGGCTGTTTTCCTGGCTGCTGTGACTGTTACTTCAGTCCTGAAGATAATGCCGTCGCCCTTTATACAGATGATCAGCTGAAATCTTCGCGTTGTCAGCTTGTAGACTGCATACCGTATATGACCGTCTATAAGCCGAATTTTGAGGACCAAAAAAAGCAGTCTGTAGAAGGGGGTCGTCTTATCCATGAGTTACACTTTCGTCAAACTTTTTTCCAGGGGTAAGAAAACAACATCGTATCACTTCGCGGGAACAAACAACAGAAGACGACTTTGTCAGTAGAGACGTCAAATTTGCAATTAAACATCACTAGACAAGATTATTTACCATTTAAGTTATAAGTTGTTTTTGCTGGGCATTGTTTTATTTGCAGGGATTAAGATTACCGTATGCGATTTTGTCTCGCATTACACAAAGCCGGAAATAGCAATCAGCTGTGCACACGCTTTCCGCCGAACAAGTTCAAACATGCACAATAATATAACGGGACGAATTCTGACGCAGTCATCAGTAAAATATAATACAGAATACCGCTATTTAACCCAAAGAAATATATCCTAGCATTGTGTAATTTTAGTTACAGTTTTTGCTCTATAAATTAATTAAGATTACCGTATGATTCTGTCTCTGCATACACAAAGCCGAAATAGCAATCAGCTGTGCACACGCTTCCTCCCTTGAACAAGTTCAAACATGCACAATAATATAACGGGATGAATTCTATTGATTGAATACTATTATTTAACCCCAAAAATATATCCTAGCATTGTGTAATAGTTTTTATGTAAAAATATATAATCAACACTAAGGTTATAATGGACCATCATGAACGTGGTAAGCACGCGTGACATGGAACGAGGCGGTAATCAGTTTGTGATTGTTGAATGGGGTAAAATAAGCAAGCCAGTTTGTTGCTACAATAAATATGATATTTAGAGAAGCAAAATATATTATGCATTTTCTGTCAACTACACTTCGTTTCGATCCGTGAGTAGACACAATATATATGACAGTGAATTCTTTGAATAATGTGGATCGACAGTGACACGGAATTTGATGGGTTTACGGCCGATGACTTGTGAAAATCTCAGAACTCTCTTGCAGAAATGTCAGTGTTTATTGTTAGTGGACTATTTTTCTTATTGTCATATATATATAGATGAAATATGGACACTTAAATAATATATTTTGAAACAAAAGTTGACTTCAGTTTTTATTTACCGATGGTACTTTTTCACAAAATGGCGTCTCGTTGTTGATGCAAGCAGTGATCTTCGGGATATAAAAAGGAACACAAACACATGTTGCCACAATACACCGGTAATCTTTATTATGTAATATTCTCACCAACACTTACGCTGTATATCCACTTTCCAAATGGCGTCTCGTTGTTGGCCGCGACCCATCGCGGGGGGTCGGCCTATCCATGAGAGATATGATTTTGACACTGATTTTGAGGGTCAAGTTTGGGGGTCGGCTTATCCATGGGATCGGCTTATAGACGGTCATATACGTCTTAGGCTCATCATCTGTTGACAGTCTCTGAAGATAGCGCAGTCCTTTGCGCAAGTTGTAGACGACATGTAGCGTTCTGTTAAGAAGCTAAGTACTGCGACGTCTCTGCCTTGTAGATGGCCTGTGCGAATGCCTTCGCGCAGGCTCGGTGATGGCATGTAGCGTTCTGTTGAGAATCTAAGTACTGCGGCATCGCTGCGTTGTAGATGGCCTGCGCGAATGCCTTCGTGTAGGCTTGTTGACGGCATGCAGCGTTCAGTTGAGAGACTACTAAGTACTGCGATGTCTCTGCTTCGCTGGGGATCTGCGTGGAGACCTGCGTGATGACCAGCGTGGAGACCTGCGTGAAGACCTTCGTGGAGACCTGCGTGGAGATCTGCGTGGAGATCAGCGTGGCGAGTGGCCTGGCAAACTGCGTCTGTAGGGTGACCTTCGCGGAGATGAGCGACTGTGGGTTCGCGAATGTCTCGGCGAATCCCTCGATGATCTGCATGATGCGGAAGATGTCTTGGATACTGTATCTGAAGTCCTTCGCGAATGCCTTCGCGAACGCTGATCATCTGATTCCGCATCTGGGGAATGACGACTGGTCCTTCGCGAACGCTGGTCATCATATTCTGTATCCGGGGATGGGAGATTCCTCCTTCGCGAACGCCTTCACAAATGCTGATCGTCCGAATCCGTAGCCGGTGATGACCGAGTCGTCCTTCGCGAATGCCTTCGCGGATGCTGATTGTTCGAGTCCGCCGCAGGAGATGGTTGAGTCGACCTTCGCGCATGCTGGTCCTGCAGTGTAGATCTGCTGCCAGATGTCACGTTGATGGAGGGTCCCTCAGAGACGACGTCTGCTTTGGAGCCTTCGTGAAGGCTCGGGACCTCTTTGTGGGCTGTGACTTCTTCTCCGGCTGTAACGCTGCTCCATCATCTCCTGCATAAAATCCCCCGGGTTGAAGGTCTGTGGTGGTAGTAGCGCTGCCCTTTCTGCAGTGATAGCGTAGATACCTCGGGTACCGTGCAGATCTGCGCTGAAGTCACCGTAGCTGAGACTGGTCTTTTCTTGGGATGAACCTCTGGGATGATGATCAGTTGATCATCGTAGAGTCCCTGTTCCGTCATCGGTACAATCTCAGCAGAGAAAGTCCTTGTAGTCTGCGCAGACGTCCCCGTAGAGTTGGTCGTCATCTGAGGGGTGTGTAGCCTTCTCTGGGTAGAGGATGGCTTCTATTCATCGTCTGATTGTAGAGCTGCCCTCTCTGCGTTGATAGCGATATGGTCCAGGGATCGCTCATCTGCCGTCCTCGGACTGCGTGCTGTATCTCTGGGATGATCAGCAGCGGCTCATCATGAAGTCATCTCACTGCCATCGGGACGATGTCTGTTTGGCTTTATTCTGCGTAGAGGATGGCTTCTTCTTCTACGTCTGCGTTGAGGGGTTGTCCGATGTAGAAGCCAACGTCTTCGAAGTAATGGCGGACAACATCCCACGCCCATCCTCCGAGGACACCTCCGGCAGGTCACTTGATGGTACTAAGTCGTCTAACAGCAGTAGACAGCTCGTGAGGGACTCAGCCAGTTTATCCATGACTTGGAAAGTCACCTGGATTTGTCGGTAGTACGTCTAAGTACAGAGAAAAATTATTTATTAAATTGAATTTCTATTAAATGCTGATAAAGATTACAGCTATAGCTGGAAGTACATGTTGTGCAGCTAGGGCACAGTCAATGCGGGTTTGCAGCAGCGAACCTAAACCTACAACGAAAATAGGTTTTCATGAAATGTAAACAACTGAACAAACACGGACAATACTGTGAATAAACAGTGCTAAATACGATTAAATATCAAACCATATTGTTGAAGAATACTAACTAAACCTCTATAAAAGTAGAATAGAGGAGAATAACTAAGTAATTAAAGGATATAGTGCCGTATAGGAGACACAGGCGCTCTCACAACCTGCCCACAGGGCGAAGAAGGAGAGAGTGAAGCATGGGAGTACGGTGGCGCTGCTTTCCTGCCAAAACGGCCACACAGATAACTCGTGGTGAGTAGGGATTTTACGTCTGTTCTTTATTGAAGGGAGCTTCAATAGGAGATACAAGTGTTCCACTAACGTTCGCAAGAGGAAGGAGACAAGCAAAAGAGCATGGATAAGGAAAAATTATGCAATACAAAGCTTGTGAAGAAACCTGGAAAAAAATAAAGGAATACTTGGCCTTTCATGTGATCCCTTATTTTTTTCCCTCAGTATAGTTATAAAAATGGACCATGTACACTGGGACTGGGCCTTATACAAAGTCTTCAGCTCAGACAGGACAGATCAACCGGGGTATCATTCTAAAGATCTTATAATGAGATCAATAGTAGACAATAGACAATAATGAGCAAAAGGTTATCATAGGTTCCCGAATTTGTTGCAGAATCCTTGCTGTTTTGAAACTAAGCTCCAGGATGCAGACTGGTTAGCTGTAAATCCTTCCATTGCTGGATTAGATTGTTCTTGGTGGTGGTAGCTTTCTGCTTGCAATACACATAATTCACGTTAATACCATAGATCCTCTTGTGGCACCAGCAGGATGTTTGTGACAAAGTGACTTGCCAGACAACTTGGTGCACAAACAAACTTACTTCTCTCAGCTTGAAGTCCTTCTCTGCATACCCTTTCTGTAGGTAGAAGCCTTTGTTCCTCTGCATCGTCTCATCACCAGGTTGAAACAGGAGGAAAGTTGCTGCAGCCTCCATGGACTTATCATCATTCTTCACTGGAACAGTTTTGTGTATATGTGTCAAAGAATGTTTGGTTTAATGCTGAATTGAACAGTATTTAGATTATATCATCAGATGTCTACTACATGTACTTTAGTGAGATTCATGAGCCCATGTATGGTACTGGCACACACTAAAGTGTGCAACTCCACGATGCCATAAGGGGAAATATAGCAAATTGCAAACATTTTACTCCAAACCTTTCACCAAGAACATTTTGAACTGCTATATTTAAACAGTAGACTAACATTATCACAGAGTGACAGGGTTTCCCTTATTGCATGTACCTAATGGTTCATACACAACGATAGGAATTTGTCAAATATGAATTACTGTATACATGTTCAAGGTCTTGCATACACAAGCTATTTGTGATGTCTACTTCATGAATACTTCTTGCAAAATAATTGATATAAATACAAAGATCACATAACCTCTAACAATAATCTAAAAGTCATTTCAGGAATAAATCACTTCAAACTGACTTTACATCTGACACAATCACAGCATACAATACATGTTGAGTAATCATAGCGTCTATCACAAGTGATAGTTAAATGCTTAGAATTTTCATGAATGAATCCAAAGTTTCGTGAAATTAGAAACGTAATTTTCTGAATAAAATTGATATTTTATACTTATCCTGACTCATGCTCTTTTGCTTGTCTTCTTCTTCTTGCGAACATAGTTGAACACTTGTATCTCCCTAATTGAAGCTCCCTTCAATGTAAAATCACTAATTAGTACTCACCACGAGTTGCCTCCCTCTTCCTTTGCGCGGGAAAGGAGGCGCCACCCTCTGGCCTCATGCTTCACTCTCTCCTGATCTAGCGAGCCCAACACTTGAATTTACAGGGAAATCCAAAGTGTTATGTGGGGAGGATGGGAGGGCTTACCTCATGAGTCAGGATAAGTATAAAATATCAATTGTATTCAGAAAATTACATATTTTTCCTTATCCTGACTCATGCTCTTTTTCTTGTAGAATCCTACGGAAAAGGAGGTGGGAAAACCAGAATACTTTGGATTTAAATAATTAGTGATTTATATATATATGTAATAACCCCCTACCGGGAACTTCATAATGGCACTGAATTAGGATAATTCCGGCTACTATAAATCATAAGTTTACCAGCTGCCATAGATAGGGTACTACAATAATAATATACTATGATAATAGCAATAATGGTAGAAAAGCGACTCCAAATTGGAGAAGCTACCCAACTGTACATAAACATCAGTACTGGGCTTAAGATTAAGTAGACTTAAGATATGTATATAAATAGCCCTAAAACTCCGTAGAGTTATAAGCTAGATGATACTGGTATGATATATACATAATAATCTCGTGAGACTATGTCTCATCGTCTACGAGGGACTGTCAACTGCTGTGCGAGGACCATGGGACCGAAATGGTGAATACCTGAGACGTCCTTGGTGGTGATATCTCTCAGATAGTGATTCGCAAACACCATGTCGGATTTCCAAAAGCAGCCCTCCATAATGGTATTTAATGAGCAGTTACCGTGTAGAGCGAGTGTGGAAGCCAGTGCTCTGATCTCATGTGGATTAGAGGCTCTTGGAGGGTCGAGTCCTGCAGTAGGGGCGAAGTATGACAGTTCTTATCCATATTGATATGGTGGTACCAGAGACTTCGGTCTGAGTCGCTGTCGATAGAGGGATGTATAATTGTTTGAGATGTCGTCGCCTCGTTTTGGATCGTCGTAGATAGATTTTGAGAGCTCTGACTGGGCATAGAGATAGGTCAAGCGTATCTTGAGATCCGAGAATTGAGGAGAGTGCAGGAACATGGAATAATCTGTCTGGTTGACCTGGCAATTGATTCTTGGCGATGAAATCCCATCGTAGTCCCATGTGCACTATGTTTTGATTGTCGTCAAAACATATTCTCTCATAATCTAGTGCGTGAATTTCTGACATCCTGGCTGCCTTTGCTAGGGATAACAGGAACAATGTTTTCTGTCAGAGAAATTCAAAAGTTGTTGATTCCAGTGTTTCATAAGCCTCACTTGTGAGGTGTTGGAGCACTATATTTAGATCCCATGCTGGAGCCCGGAACTTCTGTTTCTGATCCTCCAATCGGAATGCACGTAGTAAGGCCAGTAACTCTGGCGTTTTGGTTAACTTGACACCTGTTCTCATAGTTATCACAGAACTAAGCGCGGCAAGATATGTTGACAATGTCGAGCCTTTTAAATGTTTATTTTGGCGTAGGTAACACAGATAGTCAGTCACTTGTGGATGTGTAGCATTTCTCGCTGTAAATCCCTTTTTTGCTGCGTAAGTTTCGAAACTGTGCTACTTGTCGTCGTATAAGTTACGTGTAGAATAGCCGCAAAGCAAGCGCGACTGCTTTTGCCGCTCTGGCTGAATAACCTCTCTTGTTTAGACACACTTTAATACAGTCTATCATGAAGTTGGAATGCTTCTGGGTTTCCGTGCGCTTGTTTGGTGTGAGGATGTATTAGTAGATTCGAGCTCTTTGGTAGCTCTAGTGTTGGTTGTCCGATTTCTTGAATCAGAATGGGAAACCACGTTCTCGTTGGCCAGTAGGGCCCGACCAAAATCAGTTGGAGGCTCTGTGTTAGTCTGATTTTCTGTAACACTTGTGGGATTAACGCTGGCGCGAAACGCTGCGACGCCGCTGAGGCCTTCCCAGGATATGCTTAGAGCGTCCGCTGCCCACGCTTGTGGATCCCGGACTGGTGATACGAATGTTGTTAGCTAATTGTTGAAGCGAGTGGCGAATAGATCTACTAGCGGAGCTCCTATTTTCTTGATAATCTGTGCAAAGATTTCTGTATGGAGCATCCATTCTGTCGGTGACGGTAGGTGTGGCCGAGAGAGTGCGTCTGCTAGTACATTCTTGGCTCCACGAATGTGACATGCTCTGACATGTAAGTTGAGATCGTCGATTAGATTGAACAGTTGAAAGCATAAAGTCAATAGGTTCAGTGATCTCATTGAGCCTTGTTTGTTTACATAAAACGCCACTGTTGAGTTGTCGGTGTGAATCATCAGATGCGCCTTTTGTAGAATGGTGCTCCAATGTAGTATGGCGTTGATTACAGCTTTCATCTCTAGCATGTTTATGTGGAGCTTGCTTTCTTGCTGATTCCATAACCCTGATGCCGTCCGGTTGGCGAGATGAGCTCCCTAACCTTGGAGCGACGTGTCTACATAGAGATGGGTTTTGAATTCCGGCTCTGTTAAATAAATGCCTTCGCAGACATTCGACCTCCTGGTCCACCATAGTAGATGAGGTCTGATGTGTTTCGTTAGACTGAATGGCTGTAGGTCGTCGAGATGTGCATTGATGAAGACCTGTAACAGACGTAACTGTATTCTGCCTCTGAGTGTCATGTCTTGGGCTGACGTGAGGAGACCCAACAGACTCTGCCACTGTCGTAGTGGTAGCGGAGAGAGTAAGGCTTGTGGGATGGTCTGTTGGATCTTGAGCCATCGGTCTTCTGGTACGACGATGCGGTTCAGTGTCGTGATAAATCGAATGCCTAGAAATTGCAGATCTTGCGTTGGTACTAGGTCCGACTTGAGTAGATTTACTAACCATCCTAGCTGTGTTAGTAGCTTGATGATGAAGTTTAACTGTAGATTGAGATGCTATGGATCTTGATCTACTTGTATCCCGTCGTCGAGGTAGAACGCACTGCGTAGCCCTAGACGATGTAGGTAGGTGACGATAGGTTTCGTTACTCTTGTGAATAACCAGGGGGCCGATGATATTCCAAATGGGAGTACTTTCCATTGATAATGCAGCCCGTCTAGTGTAAACCGTAGGTATTTCCTGGATTCGGGATGTATCGGGATGTGTAGATAAGCATCCTGCAGATCTATACTGGCCATGTAGTCCATGGGACGAATTAGGTGCTGTAGTTGAGGTAGATGTATCATGCGAAACATTGGTGGTTTGCGTAGATAATCTCTGTTGAATGTGCTCATGTTGTAAATGAGTCTGTATTTCTCCTTGGAGTTTTTCTTGGGCACTAGGAAAACTGGGGAGTAGAAGCCTGGTTCGATGTTTACTTGATCTAGTACTTCTATGGCCTGCTTGGTTAGGAGAGATGTAACAGCCTCTCTTAACTTTGGTAGTTGTTGCGCCTGGAAGTCGAACTTGTGAGGGTTGACTGTCAGCGGAGGCGTGGCCTGTAGTTGGATTCGATATCCGTGTTGAAGAATGTTGGAGACATATGAGTCTTGTAACATTCCCCAGTTCTCCCAGTGCAGTTGAAGGCGTCCACCCACTTGTGACGGTTGTACTGGAATGGCTGGGGGTGGAAGACTCCAGTCGTTCCGAACCTGTCTTTCATCGTTTATAGTTGCGGGAACCTCTGCGTGCCCTGCCTCTTCCTGATCCTCCTCTGTAGTTGCCATATGGGCGACGAAAAGAATCTTTTCCTCTGGAGCTGGCCATCTTCCTATCCCGTGCTTTCTGTAATCCAGTGAATTTAGATTTCCCTGAATATCTCTGTGAAGTCTGCCTGATGACGCTGGCTAGCGTGTCCATCGACTTTATCATAAGGACTTCTCTAGAATCCTTAGTGACTTCCTTAGAGACTTTATCTATTCCTCTGTCGAAGATTGATGGCGTAGACCATGGGGCTGTGTCGAGTGGAGCTGTAAACTGCTCACCCCAGCTGCAGGAAGCGAGGAGGCCTTGACGACGAGCCAGAGTTAGCGCTGCAGAGACTGATGTGAGATGATCCGTTAGAAACTGCTGGTCCTTCTTTTGCATAAGTAGGGCCGAGTAGATCATTCTGTCATCCTCAGATGTCGAATCTCGAAATCTGGAGATAAGCGTCTCATTGATTGTTCTAGATCTATTAAGGCCAAAGAACATTCGCCTTGTCATGGTTTCGATCTGAACCAGCTTGCGGTCATCAATCTTATAGTTCCTATTCTTGACATCGTTGATCACTTTGTAGTTGTCATTGATCTCTTGTGCCTTGAAAAAGGGGTCCATATTATGAGTTGAAAACTTCTTTGCGTTGAACTGTGGTAAGTGTGGCGCTTGGACTTTAGTGGCTTTATGGAAGGCTGTGTCCAGATTCTGTGGGACCGTAGCAATCGGGTCGATCGGGGGTAGGGTGATGTTGTCTGGATCGTCCTCCCTCATAACGTAAGTGTGTGCCGGATTACCGTTCTTAGACGGTGAGGCTAGGTCCAGGTTGTTAACCATCCAATAGTGTATCTCAGCGTCGGAGAAAATGGTGCCTCCATCATCTTCTAGAACGGGATCGCTGATAAGAGGTTGATGCTCTTCCGATGGTGACCTGTATGCTTCTACCTCTGTGCAGGATGACGTCAGCGGAGACCTGACTGGGGACTTCCGTGAAGACTTGTGCGGCTAACGGTGTGGTGACCTGCAAGGTGATCGGCGAGGAGATCGTCTTGGTGAACGAGCTGACGAGCTGTGTCTAAATGGTGACCTTCGCGGCGATCTATGTGGTGAACGTTGATACCTTCGCGAAGCTCTTGGGAAATCCCTCGATGACCTTCTAGAAGCAGATGACTTGGAGCCTGTAACTGGTGCCCTTCGTGAAGACCTTCGCGAAGCTTCATCTGAGTCCGGTCCTGGGGAGCGACGACTTGACCTTCGCAAAGGTTTGCGCGAAGGCTGAGGGTCCGAGTCAGAGTCCGGGGATGAGATGATCTTTCTTTTCGAGCCTCCTCGTAAGTGTTGATCATCAAGGTCCCAGGTAGATGACGATCTAGAAGTCCTTCGCGAAGGCCTTCGCGAAGGCTGTACATCTGGGTCCTTCGCCGAGGTGGTCTGTGACTTCCTTCGCGGAGGTGGCATTGTAGTGGCCGCTACGTTGACGGGGGTCCCTCTGGTGTGTCGTCTACGTTGCTCTGGGCTGGTTGTCTCTCCAGTCTGTATCGGTCCTCCATCATCTTCATGATCTGCCGCATCAGGTCGTCTGGGACGGTCTGCGAAGATGTAGTCGGTGCCCTCTCTGCGTTGGTAACGACGGGGCCCTCAGGAAGATCGTCCGACATCAGCGTTGGTACATCAGGCTGCATGGCGATCTGCGCTGACGTCACTGTTGCCGACACCGGTCGTTTCTTGTGGCGTAGATCGGGTATGATGATCGGCTGATCATCATACAGGCCCAATTCTGCGGCGGGAACAATCTAGGCTGAAAAGGTTCTAGAAGACTTCGTCGAATTCACCTTGGAGGTAGACACTGCCCTGGGGGTACAGAGTCTGCGTTGAGATGATGTCGAAGCCCTCTTAGTCTTTGGCTGCGACGACGGGATGTCTGGGGATGCAGGACGCTTCATGGAGACGGCGGACTGCGTCCCACGCCCTCTCCTCGAGGGTAACTCTAGCGGAACACCAGACGGGAAGGGGTCGTCCGACAGCAGTTGACTGGCGAGGGGTTCCGATGTATCGGCCATGGCTAAACCTTGTTTGCGTGACCTATCTGTTGCACGTCTCAAGACGCAAAGATAATATTTGTTAAATGCAGAATTAGACAGATTAATACAGTAACTGCAACGTGAAGAAAACGCACATGGCGTAGTACAGCTAGGGCATATTAAATGCGGATCAGCAGCAGAAAAACGTAATCTACAAATAGTACAGATTTTCATTAACGTAAACTTGCTGAACAATCACGGCGTCCCGTGAATAAACAGCAGAAATACGATTAATTATCAATACATAATTGTTGAAGGATACTAGCTACACCTCTATAGAAGACTATAAGAGGTAAATAACTAAGAATAATCAAAGGATATAGTGTGTAGGGAGACACAGGCGCTCTCACATCCTGCTCACTGGGCGAAGAAGGAGAGATTGAAGCATGAGGCCAGAGGGTGGCACCTCCTTTCCCGCGCAAAGGAAGAGGGAGGCAACTCGTGGTGAGTACTAATTAGTGATTTTACATTGAAGGGAGCTTCAATTAGGGAGATACAAGTGTTCCACTATGTTCGCAAGAAGAAGAAGACAAGCAAAAGAGCATGAGTCAGGATAAGGAAAAATATGTTATTGTAATTTGATCACTAGTGATCTTGCTGGAATGTTGACTTGACTGTCATCCCACCATTCACATGATGCATTCTGCATCGTTTCATTTTTACCTCAGAAAATACTGAAGTTATCTTCAACACCAGCTTTCCCAAGCCAGCCATTCATCATATAACATATGACACACTTGTCAGACTTCCATTTTTGTGGAAGCTGGTGATTAGGCAGCTGACTTTGTGTGCTGGCAATTAGGTGCCTGACTCTGAGGGTGTGGGTTCCAATCCTGGATGGGACTTAACCCAACAAAAGTACTAAAATCTGTACTTTACTGAGAAAGTGTAATCCCAAATATGACATGTTAGGTTTTATCAAATTGAAATAATGAATACTCAAGTGATCCTGAATAGAAGCCTTTCGGATTTATGGTTCCCCTTGAGTGACCTTGACCTTCAATCATTAACCTTGAACATTACCAACAATGACAATAATTTTTAGAATATGAACTCTGACTGTTTCTGAATCCACAGGTTTATCTTGAATAGTCGAAGGATACAACAAATAAACGTGAAACTTACACTTGTAGTAGGCAAACTGTAGGTAGTGAAAGTGGTCAGCCACGTAGTCTCCAATTTCCTCAGTGAATATTCTGCTCAGTTTCCTTTCACAGCTGTGTTGACACTCCAACACAGACAGATAGTGGTCTGAAACACAGCACACATACACCATACAGTCTCCCTCACTGCACAGACAGATTGTCTGAAACACTACATTGGCTAGATAAGCCAATACTAGATTATCAGATGACAAAGAATCAAGCAAACAACAAGAAAAAACAATTTAAAGTTACAGTCAGACCTCGTTAATACGAACACTTTGGTTTTTAAAAAAAACCGTTCGGATAGTGAAACGTTCGTACTGCTGAAACCACAGTATATGCACCGAGTTACTTCCCCTTGATATCTTTCCTTACTATCGAGACTCTGAGGTCATAGATGAAGCCTATGTTTATGAAGGAAATTATAATCCTACTGTTGATAAATATGAAGTTTATTTTTATAATGTTATTCAAAAACTATGGCGATTTTTTTCCATTTGTGACATGTCGTAACATGCCAGTGCCTTTTCTTTTTATATTTTCATTTTACGCCATCAGAAAATTATTATAAAAAGATTTCTTAAATAATATGTATGGTTGCCTATTTCCGATATCAGTGGCTTTCCGCCGGTAACATGACACATAACAACGGAAAATACCTCCGTTTTGAAGCGTCGATGATGAATAACATGGGAGGCTTAATCGCTTGATGTCGGGTATCGCTCGAAAGCTCTGAACATCAACAACATCACTCAACCCTTGCCGGTATTTTCACAGTTGTAAGAAGCGATTTTATTGGATAAAATTGGTTTCTAATGACGCTTTTCGCTACAGTCTGCTATAAGGGTCGGATTGGTCAAAATCAGACACGGACCTAAGGCAGCCAATCATATCACGGCAATGGATATCGCCCTCGTAAAACGAAAAACTTTTAGATTTAGGCGAAAAGTTTTGGGTAAAATAATGCTATTTTGAACATATAAAGCAAGAAATCGCTACCTATTAGTTTATTCAATTTACATCGTTACTTTGCTCTTTGACAATGTTACTGTGGACCCGCTGCCGAAGCATGTGTCCGAGAATCGTTGTTTTCAATAACATTGCGAAAAATAGTTTATAATTTTAATTCGCTACCGAGCATGTATTTCTGGATTGAAGTCTTTCCCAAAACAGCGTGTTCGTCGAAATTTCCCTATCACTTATGATAAAGGGATCAAAGGGATGAGTACTAAACAAACAACGTGTCACTTTGAGTGGACGAGTCAGCAGCGCCGTCAACTTCAATCGTTCGGATTAACGCAGCTGTTTACAACTTAATTAGTCCAATCCGTTCCGACTGACCAGCGTTCGGAGGCGGAAACTGAATCATCGGACTAACGAGGTGTCAATTATATACAATATATAGAGAGATGATTTGGTGCCTGGTGAGTAGCGTTCGGAAGTCGGTGGATTCGGATTAACGAGGACCGGATTACCGCGGCCTGACTGTATCTCCCTTCCATCGATTTGCATTCGCAAAACATATAATTTCTGTACAACTTAATTCTGATGTAATTTCCGTACACTTTATGTGACTCAATTATTCAAGATACAGAATTACTAACACAAATTATCTTACCTTTATGTAAATTACTTTAATTTCATTGGTCAATGACGCTTTAACAAGTTTCCGTGTCACCCCTCCTAAGACGTCATAAAATGACAAATGCAGTGCCCGGAGTTCGAAAAACCATTCGATTATCTGTTTTTGAGTTCATCATGTTCAGATTTATTTTACCGACTTTCACTGCTTTATTTAAACTATTTTATACATTGAATCGTTTGCACACTCAACTTAAACATAGTTCACTACTTCTATAGCAGTTTTAAGCTTGTGAGAATGTTTCACTGATATTAAACATTCAGTCAAGAGGCAGATGCCATTTTGTTTACATGAAATATAGTTCATATCGATCTTCAAAATAACAAAATAATATTTTGTTCATTTAACATGGCAGTAAGATAAATACGTTGCATGCGTCTCCCTCGGGTAATACGGTCTGATGTACGCCATTTTGTAGCAATGTCATCCCTTATCTACTGGCTCGCGTGACACCTCTATAAAGAGGCGTACATCAGACCGTACTGCCCTGGAGAGAAGCATACCACTTTTAGCACCAAATGACTTCCCACCGTTTGGCATTCCCAGCGGGAAACATAGAAAATGTTACTCGTCTGTAAGCAGGGTACATTGAAAATAATAGCAGAGCGCTCAGCCAATCAGAAAATGACATTTATGTGTGAGGTAAGATAATGGGTTATGTACCACTTGAGTAGTCTGTCACAAGCAAGGGACCTCTCCTCAAAGAAATCAGTGCTTAGCACTTGCCGTGACAATCAAAATGTTGAGTATTTTGTCTTTGACCATTTAAGGGTCAAATTTGCAGGAACACTGACCCCTTGCCATGCAAAACTTACACTTGTTTGGCTATGTTGTTCCTTACCACAGGTATATAGGATGGTGTGGAATGGAGTCTAACATACATTTGTTCAACTTTTGCTCCAGTTTGATAAACATTGCCATACATTTATACTATAAAGTTGAAGCCATGTTATAGTCCAACATAATAATATTGCTATGCAAAACAGGAGATATGTGTGCATCCTTTCTTAAAAACATATCTACAATTACTGGCCATTAAGGAGAATTTTTCTCTAAAATCAGGTTCATTTTATCAAAATCAAACACTATGTTCTGTGGGTGGCATTTTTTAAATCAGATCAGATTTCTGTGATACAATTTGTGTGACTCCAAACCTTGGATCATTCAAGCAAAGCTTCAGCTTCATTGAAAGGTCTTGCAGTTTCAGAATTATTAAACATCAATATATGCGACTAATTCATGCATCCGTACCTGCCACAGCACTGACAAACTCCAGGGGTCGAGCAGATTCGTAGATGTTTTCACACTCTGCACGACACCTTTCCTCCTCATGGTAAAACTCAGTGATGGCCAGCTCCATGTTGGTTTTAACCCCTTCCCAGTCATCGCTGTTGTAGGCCATCAACCCTCTGACATAAGCTTCCTGAAACAGATGAACAACAAAGTTAAACATTACCACTGTTGTAGGCCATCAACCCTCAGAGATGAATGGAATCGTTAAGTTAGAGCTGACACTGATGTTGGTGTTACAATGCCTTGAGAGTAAAACTGATATTGATGTTGGAGTCACAACATATTGACAGTAGTACTGATATTGATGTTGGAGTCACAACATCTTGACAGTAGTACTGACATTGATGTTGGAGTCACAAAATCTTGACAGTAGTACTGATATTGATGTTGGAGTCACAACATCTTGACAGTAGTACTGATTGATGTTGGAGTCACAACATTTATCTGATATTGATGTTGGATCTTGACAACAGTACTCTTGATGTAGTAGTACTGACATTGATGATCAAAGACAGTAGTACATATTGATATTTTCGAGTATACTGATATTATTGATGTTGGAGTCACAACATCTTGACAGTAGTACTGACATTGATGTTGGAGTCACAACATCTTGACAGTATGACATTGATGTTGGAGTCACAACATCTTGACAGTAATACTGATATTGATGTTGGAGTCACAACATCTTGACAGTAGTACTGACATTGATGTTGGAGTCACAACATCTTGACAGTAGTACTGATATTGATGTTGGAGTCACAACATCTTGACAGTAGTACTGATATTGATGTTTATCGTACAATATATAGCGTTCTCGGCAGGATAAAGCCAACAGATATTTTCGGTATTCGTTGGGGTCATATACGGATATCGATGCAAATTAGAGAGGTCATATGCAAATGTTAGGGACTACTTTCACAGTGTAAACAAACATGGCGTCACATGTCGGCGATCGCGACCGTATTGATGACCGTGGTTACAGTACTGTCAGTGCTTTGATCCAAGAAAATTCATGTCTGGTTATGATAGATGGCGTGGATTACGACACGAAGACAGAAATTCATAGGCCTACGAAGATACCAAAACCAGTTCCCGACAGACTGACAGTGTTAGCGAGCTGACGGCACAGGAATTCAGGTGCAGAATGTCATGCGAACATTTAAGTGTATTTGTTGTTCAAAAGGTTAATTGAAGGTTTCTGAAGATCCACACGAGATTGTTGTTATTTTTCAAAAGATTGTTGACAACAATACGTGCATTTACATAAAATCTTACTGAGAACTAGATGACCTAACCCAGTCATTTGAGTGATCAGAAGAAAATTGTGTCACAAAGCTTGTGACGTAACATATTACTACGCGCATATTTGTGACGTCATAGATATCTATGCACAATCCATGAAGTTTAGTTTCATGATGTGTGGCAATTAAATCTTGAGAGTAGTACTGATACCTTGAGAGCAGAACTGATATTTGTTTGGTGACAACACCTTGAGAGTAGTACTGATATTGATGTTTAGTGACAACACCTTGAGAGTAGTACTGATATTGATGTATAGTGACAACACCTTGAGAGTAGTACTGATATTGATATTTAGTGACAACACCTTGACAGTACCACTGATATTGATGTTTAGTGACAATACCTTGACAGTACCACTGATATTGATGTTTAGTGACAATACCTTGACAGTACCAATGATATTGATGTTTAGTGACAATACCTTGAGAGTAGTACTGATATTGATGTTTAGTGACAATACCTTGAGAGTAGTACTGATATTGATGTTTAGTGACAACACCTTGAGAGTAGTACTGATATTGATGTTTAGTGACAATACCTTGACAGTACCACTGATATTGATGTTTAGTGACAATACCTTGACAGTACCACTGATATTGATGTTTAGTGACAATACCTTGACAGTACCAATGATATTGATGTTTAGTGACAATACCTTGACAGTACCACTGATATTGATGTTTAGTGACAACACCTTGAGAGTAGTACTGATATTGATATTTAGTGACAACACCTTGAGAGTAGTACTGATATTGATATTTAGTGACAACACCTTGACAGTACCACTGATATTGATATTTTAGTACCACTGATATTGACGTTTACTGACAACACCTTGAGAGTAGTACTGATATTGATGTTTAGTGACAACACCTTGAGAGTACCACTGATGTTGATGTTTAGTGACAATACCTTGAGAGTACCACTGATATTGATGTTTAGTGACAACACCTTGACAGTACCACTGATATTGATGTTTAGTGACAACACCTTGAGAGTACCACTGATATTGATGTTTAGTGACAACACCTTGACAGTACCACTGATATTGACGTTTACTGACAACACCTTGAGAGTAGTACTGATATTGATGTTTAGTGACAACACCTTGAGAGTAGTACTGATATTGACGTGACATCAACATCAATATCAGATGCCAACCAACACAAGATCTTGACAGTAGAACTGCTGTTACACAGATCTCTTGAGAACAGCTTAAAAATAGAAGAACAAAAAATGCACTATTGGTTATTTAGCCATTTTGTATGACCATGTTTTTCGTGAAGGCAAGATCACCTTGGACAAACGTGATGCACTGTGGGACATCCATCTGAAAGTGCCCGCAACATATTTGAAGGGTACTTTTAATGTCATTTGAAGACCCCTCAATCAAATATTTTGAAAAAAAGAGAGTCATTCTACACCCCAAAAAGTAGAAGTGACAATTGAAGCAGCATGCTAGTAAATATAAGGTGACATAATCCCTCTTCGCAAATTATCAAATCAAACTTAAAAAGTGAAGGTTGTAGTTTAAGGTGAAGTTAAATGTCAACAAAAGCATGACCAGTCAATCTGCACCTTCCCAAGATGATGCTTTGTGTCAAATATGAAGAAATACAGTGAATCGTTTGTGAGATGTCTGGCTGACGAGGTGAACATGTACGTTAACAAGCATTGTCACTAAGGTGACATAATCCCCTGCCGCAAATTATCAAATCAAAGTAATGAAAGTTTAAGTTAAATGTCAACAAAAACATGACCAGTCAACCTCTCTTGATGTCTTGCTCTTTAGGTGTTCAAACACACAATTATTTTCAAGACTGACTTTGACATGAATGTCATAGTGTATGAAATATGCAAAAATAGTACTAAAGAAATTGCTTGTTGAAAAACATTTAAGGGAAGTCTTGAAAGTCCTTGAAGAAGATCCAGTGAACTGTTTTTGAAATATCTTGCTGACAATTCAGGTTAACATGCTCAAATCTTCAAAGTGTCTCTGTGACCTTGAAAATTAAGTGAAGGTCACCAAAATCGACTGGGCCCTGCGCCTTCCCTAGATAAAGCTTTGTATTGAATATGAAGAAAATCCAGTGAACGGTTCTTGAGATAGCTTAACATGCAGGTAAAACGTTAAAGTCCCCATTGTGACCTTGAAATTAAGGTCAAGGTCACCAAACCTGACTTGGACCTTTCTTATACTGTGATGAACCTAGATACCAATTATGAAAACAATCTAGTAAACGGTGTTTAAGATATTCCAATTCGTACGTACGTACGGACAGAGCCTAATACTATATCCCCCGCTTCGCGCTATACGTGCGGCGGGGGATAACAAACTGAAATATTCAATGTGTCGCTGTGACCTTGAATGACTGACTTACTGACTGACTGAGTATGGTTTTACACCGTTTTTAGCAATATTCCAGAAATATCACAGCAGGGGACACCAGAAATGGGCTTCACAAATTATTCCCATGTGGGAATCGAACCCGGGCCTTTGGCGAATGCTTTAACCACTTGGCCACCACAACACCCGTGTGACCTTCAAGAATACATGAAGGTCACCAAAATCAATATAGCCATGCGCCTTCCCTAGATGAAACTTGGTGTCAAATAGGAAGAAAGTGAACGATTCTTGAGATATCTCGCTGACAATCTAAACATGTAGGTTAACATGCTGAAGTCTTCAAAGTATAACTGTGACCTTGAAAAAACATGTGAATGTCACCAAAATCGACTGGGCCCTGCGTCTTCCCTAGATGAAGCTTATTGTTGAATATGTAGAAAATCCAGTGAATGGTTCTTGAGATATCTCGCTGACAAGCTTAACATGCAGGTTTACATGCCGAAATCTTCAGTGTCGCTGTGACCTTGAAATTATGTGAAGGTCAACTGGGCCTTGCACCATCCCTAAATGAAGCTTGGTGTCAAATATGAAGATAATCCAGTGAACTGATCTTGACATATCTCGCTGACAAGGGTAAAATGTTAAAGCCCCCTTCTGATCTTGCTATGAAGGTCAAGGTCACAAACCTGACTTGGACCTTTCACATACTGTGAATAACCTAGGTACCAAATAAGAAAAGAATCTAGTCAACGGTTCTTAAGATATTCCAATTCGTACGTACGTACTGACTAATGGGCGGGCGGAGCCTAATACTTTATCCACCGCATCGCGGATGTTCAATACAACAATGTCTTGTGTACTTGCATAGTGAAGCATAGAGACAAACTAAAGAAACTTGGCTGTGCAAATGTGAGAGCAAAATTGAAAAAAGATGCCATGCCAACTAATTTGACAGAAGAAATTTGACAAACGCGACCTGCCGATGGGAAAGCTAAGGGTTGTTCAAATATGTTATTGTGTGACAATAAGCTATCATAAAATACGAATGTGGCGTACATTTTAATATGAAATGGCATTGGGAACAACACCAGGGGCCTTATGGCACATATTAATCCCACATGGCACAATACCATTCAACACAAGGTAACGATAGTTTAACCATATTTATGTTGTGTGATGACACAAGAAGTACAACTTACTCAATTAACCTTTTCTCCTTAAGTTTGGCATGGATAGACGAGAATGTAATTCTACATACATTTAAATTATACCTCATATTCTTGTAGGCATTGTTTTTTTTACGCAGAGATTTAGATTACAGTGTGTATTGTCTTGTAAACATTGTGTGAAGCCCATTTCTGATGTCCTTCGCCGTGATATTGCTGGAATATTGCTAAAAGCAGCATAAAAGCCAACTCACTCACTTGTAAACTAAGCTGGAAATGGCACAAGCTACCTCAAAATCTCCAAGTGATTCA